GAAATATTCATCTTGTAACCACTCCTCGCCGGGGAATGTGGGAAGGGGCGCATTCAACTGCGGAGCGGTAAAGGTGCTAAAGGTTGAGATCGACGAATCGTGGCGCAAGGGGACGTCATTGATGAAAGTCTGTCGCTCTGTCTTGACATCGATCTCGTATGGAGCATAAGGCGCATACATCGTCTGGTTCAGACCGGGTGTTGGCAGATGTGACGAAAAGAGATCGTATGTCTCGGTGTAACCCGGGCGATTGAATTCGAATACGGGTGACAGGGGCGATGTGGCAGTCATATTGCGACTGCGAGCTAATGGGTCTATGGTAGCCCTGCTGTTAGAGCAAAGACAAGCAAGTTGAGTGAAGATGCAGTAGTCCTACCAGTCGCGGACCCATTGCGCTCGTTCATCTTCGTCTGCTTGATCTTATTCTTGATGCGCTCCTTTTGAATCCTTCTCTGTTCGGCATTTCCCCACCAGATTGGACGCTTATATTCACACTTCACGCAGAGATTGCTGCAAGCACCGCAGGCTGGGTGCTTTTCATCACACTTCTTCCTGCGCAGACGACATGTGAAACAGCCTAGACTCGTTAGTAAGATGATCCGACCAGATAGGAAGTGGAAAGGTTGAGGCCGATGGAGTAACCAACCAGATCGAGAGCGCTTGTGCAACTTGGCAGTCTTCTCCGGCGTCCCTACGGACACCCCTTCACCGGACAAGGGTGATTGGGTGGAATCGACGGTCTTGACGGCATTCGAGGCCGAGGACTTCTTCCTTGACGCAACAGGCATTGTGGGAGGAAAGTCGGAGGAGAACGTCTTTAGTGGTATCGGTCCAAGTCGTCTGGTGCCGGTGAATGACGACGGAAATGACAGGACACAGGTCGCCTGGAGCTGTTGCTTGTAACACCGAGTATTAAGTCGCAAAGCTGAACCAGCAGCCTTTGCTATCTATATTAAGATAAGAGAAAGAAAGGCGCGGCTATGCAAAGGACAAGGCGATGGGATAACTCTGACAGGTAAAGCAACAAGTGAACATCGACAGTGACTCTGTGGGATCGATGAACCTTTAAAACCAAGGTTCAAACCCGACAGGCACGCCATGATGTTTCTATTTTGGAACCAGATAGCCGAGAGAAAGGAAGGGCTTGCAGTGGTGAGAGCCTTGAGCGGGGGATGGCAGGGGAGATCATCTCAGGCGTAGTACACTAGCAGGGGTGGTGAGCAAAGCTAGCGGGAGAATGGCCTGCGCTGATAGCAAAGACTTGATCGGAGAAGTTAGCCCGGGCTAATTTTGGATAATTGTGATCATTCTGGACGTTTGCTGCCTCCAAGTTGGCGCCCATGCACTGTATGTTGAGGAGATGATTGGACTCTTCGTCCATGGCTGGGAAATTGATTGGATTTAGATTCATCCCAAGGTCTGTGCCCAACAAATCCATGCAGGTATTGGGGGAAATTGGTGCAACTATTATGCATGTTAATATGATAGTCTGCCTTGATTCTCTGTCCATGGTACAATATCATTTTTGGGTGAGTTATATCCTTGTATAGTGCAGTATGGCAGAATCAAATCAGACTGTATGTCGACATTCTACTGTAGGCTCCTCATGGTTGATACCAGCAACCGGGAAGTACTTCCCTAGCTATGACTAGCAGAAAGCAGTGTTATCTCCCTGTAGAAAAGGCAAGATGAATTGCTCGTGACCTTGACGATAATAAAACTCTATGGCCAATGAGACTCATAGCTCATCTGTCCTCGAGAACTGGAATTAGCTCCAATTTTCAATCGCTCACCGGATTGGGAAAATGCAATAGCAATCCATGGCCATTCATCATCACGATGTAGCATGAGAAGAGGACCAGCCCATATTGAACGCAATCATAGCCTTGACCAGTGACTTCTGGGGAGTCGGAGTCGGAGAGTTCCTCCAAAGTCCAGAGACTTAACACAGTGGGGAAGCAGGAGAGCTCCAGTTGACAGAGCCAACAGTCAAATTTGACAAGCACCAATCGATGTCCCTTGGACAAGAAGCCCAAAGCACTAACGATGCACCATGAGACCAGGATGATTTGCCCAGTCTCACCAATCAGATACTCGAACAGAGCGGACGAAAGCAGAGACTCCGTCGGACAGAAAGTCAGAATGACAGAATGACAGAATGACCAGAAAGGCTTTGCGGGGCTAGCCTTAGCGGGATGAGCCAAGCTTCCTTGTACAACAAGTGATTGGCCAGAGGCCTCAATACTGGAGGACGCCATCGAGGGTTCGCCAGGGTCGTAGTTGTGCAGAGCGGGAAACCCGCAGCCAACCGTGCTGGGTGGATCGGGTCAGTGCAACACCAACAGAGTTTGGCCAAGGCGATTGAGAATGTGATTGTGAATTTGTGATGCATTGATACTTGATACTAGTCTCTGACTCGACGGCCATGCTTTTGCTCCTTGGGGTTTAGAGACATATAAAGCTACCTTAATTAGTAACATTTAGCCGCCAAGCAGAAAGCCAAATGCCTCTTAATTTGTCCCAGATCAAGCTATCTTCCATAGATTACTATTAATAATATCCTGCTCTGATCCTTGTTAATCACGGTAATTAGTCGAAATTTCTCCCATCTCATGATCCTCGTCGGTCTGATGGACTCCGTATTGATTGCTAATCCCTGTGTCTCTCCGACGCACACTCGATCTCGAGTCACACCGTCACTCTCCGAGTCTACAGAGTAGGTGCTCCACAGACAATCCGCTTGTTTGTACAGAGTACGGAGTATGCGAATCGACACCTCTTCCCACTTCGACATTCTCATAGCTTGAATCGGGTAGTTTTATTATTCAGTGACTTCATCATCTTCCGTCTCCTTTTTTACACCTCCAGGAAGTCAACATTCGAATACCATCGTCCCCCGAACCCCCATCGTCATCCTGCCTGGGAAGTTTCTTATCACATTCCTGCAGCTGCAGATCCAATTGGAGTAATTTAGTGCATCAATCAACGGCGATATTTAGTGACTGGATCTGCGATTGGCCAGATCACACTCCTGCAGGATTCCCTGTCAGAAGCACAAGCTAGATTGTGACATGTACGAGCGAAGGGTTATCTATGCCGCTGTAAGCCCATCACCAAAAAGTAGTACTACGGGTATCTCGACTTGCTCTTTCTATTACAAATGAGTATCTTGTTCCTGAGCATTTGCTGTCTCTGCATCCAACTGATAGTTGAATATAGTTGAGTCCAACGACAGCTTTACTAGTCGAAGAGTTGCACACAGAGTGATGATAGTATCAGCACTAACCACTCTGGATAGCTTAGGTTTCGATGGCTGGGAATACGCATGGCTATTCCTGACCTGCTCCTCTCCTCTTGCTGAACTCGCAGCCCAAGTTTCTCTCCTTAATGCAGCTAATTAATCAGGCCCTTGCTATTGACAGCAAAATTAATTCCTGGAAAGGAATTTATTGCACACTTCCTTCTGCTAATTCAGTTTGCACATCATTGAGGCGAATACCACCTGTTGCTATACTCAAGCACTCTGTATACTGAATCGATATCAAATCAACTCTTCGAGCTCTGGGTTCAGGGCAGAGGATAGAGCCACAGTCCTTATCTGCTCCACATGTTTTCAAACAGTCTACGAAGTACCATGTGTAGTCTCCTTGCATTAAAAGCATTGCAGCACACAGGACATCTTGAGCATACTCATGTATATACTCTCATATTCTTACTTTCTGAGTGATCAACCTATTTTGCATCATCATCATACACTAGAGAACGATCATAGCTCGAAACCTTAAGCGGCACGAACTCACGCTGCGGCTATGACCTCGCATCAATAGTCTGCCATGTGCTCTTAACGTCTCTCATCCTCCACTAGACTCTGAGAAACTCCTTCTAGAAATTTGAATCTTCGTCCTTACCTTCATCGCTAAGCGCCAGATGTAAATTTAGCGCTCGCTCTATGCTTCGCCTGAAGCCACGAGCAATCCCCCTCGAATCCTTAAGCGCCCTCAATATCCATGAGTTTCAAGCTCAACTCAACCAAAATAGAAGCAAATACTGTTGAGTCTGTCAAGAGGCTAGGATTTGCGCTGCGGCTTTTGTTGTCTCAAGATCCAAGACTCACGTTTCAACCATTGGCCATGCATTCCCTATCGATCGCTGCATGCTCTAGCCTGGGCCTGGATGTTCAGTTTGTGTGCAATGACAACGTAGCTAAACATGTCTCAAGGCAGACTTCCGCATCGTTGAAGATCTAGATAGTGATGTCCTGCCAATGCTCAGCCTGCTGTCATGTCTATATCGGGACGGGGAAGCCCAGGTTGGTGTCAAAGTATGTTGCGTGGCAGTCACCTCAGGCACTCTCTCGAGTTAGTCATAGGTTGAGGGTGCCTGATCTTGGAGATGACAATATTTTGTTCTTCCTCAATTCCACAATTCTGCATGAAGGTGGCATGGGGAGAGTCGAGGACAAGAGACCCTCAGGCCCAATCATACCTGTTGTTCAAGGGTCTACGCAGATAACAGAGGCATTGTCGTTTTAATGCGTAAATTTTTAGAATCCATGACCGGTTATATTTGCTGAAGCCAAGGTGACCGGCATGCAATTGAATACATGGCTGTCATTGAAACAAACCGATGCGGATCGGACGAAATATATAACGACGTAAGACCGGCGGTTCTCAGCTGTAGTCGAATCTCAAGAAAGGAGTCATAAATCCATCGTCCGGATCCTGCTATAATTGCCAAGTGGTGAATAGTTCTCTGTGTAGGTGATGTAGAACCATGTTCAGTTAGAAAGGCATGTTAGCAATATGTTGCGGGCTTGGGGTTGTCACATGCAGCAAGTTTAAGCTTACCGTCATCATGGCTTATCGGAGTATCTCTCCGCTTCTCGATGATTCCTACGGACTACTTCCAGCAAACCAGCATTACCTATCTTCCGCCAGACTCCTGCCACCAGCCCTCTCATCCGGGTCAAGGATCTGCGATAGCATGCATCTGTGGTCGCCATGTTACGTTCACCGATAACCCGCGCTATCTTCCGCAGCGCTCCAGCGGGATCAACAATCCCATATTCGTCGCAGTCGGCATCGCACATCGCGGCTCCTATCCTCGATTCTTCCTACTTCTCCGGCCAAACCTTCCGATACTCACGTTTTCCCTCTGCGACACTTGGACTCACCTCAAGGGCCTTCACATCTTCCTCGCAGTCTTCTTTTCGCTTTCCCAACAGATACTTCTCCTCCTCGGTCAGGTTACCTTTCAGATACGGCAGTGATAAATATCGGCGATTTGATGGACCCAGGCGCGAATCGCTTCTTCAGCGATTGTTGAGCAATGCAAGACCATACCATTTTGTCATAATTGGCGTCGTAATTGGCGGTGTCTACGCCAACAATGTTGAAACGGTGGAGGTGAGCTCGCTATTCTGTCTTTGTTAAGCAGTCCGATGTGATTTGAGGATACTTGGAAGATGGAAATTGAGTCGCGCTGAATCATTTGTATCCAGTGGTTCATTCTGATGCCTTTTCTTCTAGATGACCGGCCGCCGACGATTCAACTGTGTCTCCTCCCACCAGGAACTAAGAATGGGTCAAGAGAGCTATCAAGAGGTTTTGAGATCAACGCGAGGGAAGATTCTCCCCGAGAATCATCCGCTGACCGTCATGGTGAACCGCGTTCTCCGCAGATTGATACCGCAAGCGCCAATTGAAGGCGCAGATTGGAGGGTTCATGTCATCAAGGATGATGGCATGGTCAATGCTTTTGTTTTGCCCGGGTATGCATATTCTTCAAAATCAATGTTTGTTGTTGTATACCTCTGACCCTATACGCAGTGGGAAAGTGTTTGTCTACACAGGCATCCTGCCAATTTGTAAAGACGAGGATGGGCTTGCGGCTGTGTTGGGCCACGAAATCGCTCACGTGGTTGCGCATCATCCAGCAGAGCGCATGAGCAACAACATCCTGACGGTTGGAGCGGTATTCCTGATATCCATGCTCTTTGACATTTCAGGCCAGATTCCTTCGCTACTGCTCAACCTAATGTACAGCTTGCCGAATTCGCGGACGCAAGAGGTAAGCTTTGCTTCCTTGCCCCGAAGATGACCCGTAGGCTGACTACTCCATAGGCTGAGGCAGACAACATTGGCTTGAGTATGGTCGAATCAACGATAAATGGTTATGTCTTTGGATGCTAATCCGGACTAGTGATGATGTCAAAAGCTTGCTTCAATCCGGAGGCTGCTGTCGGGCTGTAAGTCACCAACCGACTCCACTGCATTTCAGAATCATCATCGGCTTTGATCTGCGTGGCTCACATTTCACAGTTGGGCGCGTATGCAGAAAGCAGAGCAGGAGACACCGCCTCAATTTCTGTCGACACATCCCTCGGTAAGTCTTAACTCGCTCTGCATTCTGAAGTACTGTGACCCTGACCTTTCTACCAGAGCTACAACCGCATGGAAGCAATCCGTGGATGGTAAGGCCTCTCTGACTTGCACCGTCTGCTGAGATGTGCTGACGAGATTCCAGGCTGGACAAGGCCGAGGCAATCTATGAAGATAGTGGGTGCAATAACCTGGGCAACTACAGTAAGCGCTCCTAAGAAGAGACTCGCTCACACTTGGGCTTGACTAAAACAACGAACTTCAGTGCCGGGATTTCGCCGAGCTTCAAACGACTACTACGGATGGTGAGCAGTTGTTACTGGGACGACCTAGTTTGTTTCATAGAACATAATCCTATACATAATTATGAAATCACGACTCATACCAATTATTATAATTGCCAGGATAAGATGATTCAAAGTCATATGTATGAATCCAAGTATAATGCCCTAGCCCCTCCAGATGCAAACCAGCCAAACATTCGCCGCCGCCTGACCGTCTCGAAAGCTCCATCAAAAATTCCCGGGACAGCAAGTAGCTTGTGTGATAGCACTTTCTTGCTTCCTTCTTCCTCTTCTCATTTTCTGTCTGCCTCGAGGGGAAGCTTTCTTCAAAATGTCGCTGTCTATGCCTGGTCCTAGCCAGGCGGGTCTTTTCAAGCCTGGATACCAGAGGTAAGCGAGTTCTATTTGTGGAAGGTCCCGCTCAGCGCACTCCGCGACGAGTTAAGGAGATGAGATCCAATAAAGCATTCAAACTGTCCAAGATAGTCAATGTAACTAACCCTCAATCGCTACAGCCACGATGCTGAAGATGGTGCTGTCATTCGCAATATCGAGGCCTGCCAGGCGATCTCCAAGACTGTCCAAACGTCGCTCGGTCCCTACGGCCGCAACAAGATCGTCATCAATCACCTGCAGAAGATGGTACTTACGTCGGATGCCGCTACAATTCTCCGCGAGTTGGATATCGTGCACCCGGCTGCCAAGCTGCTTGTCATGGCGAGTCAGCAGCAGGATGCGGAGATGGGCGATGGTACTAATATGGTCATCGTTCTGGCTGGAGAGCTGTTGAAGAAGGCCGAGGAACTGCTACGGATGGGCTTGAAGACGAGTGATATTGTCCAGGGGTACGAAAAGGCACAGAATTACGCTCTGAAAGTACTAGAAGGTCAGTTGTTTGGTCATTCATTTTTCGCCGCGTTTTCAGGGGCTATCCAATATGCCTCGCTTGCGAGCGCATTTTCTTCATCTACTGACCGATGCTGGATTGATAGACCTCGAAGTCGATCGCTTGAAGGAACTACGCTCTCAGACAGAACTCTGCAAGGCTCTTCGTACGGTAGTCGCCAGCAAGCAGTCCGGAACAGAGGATCTCTTGGCATCGTTAGTCGCGGAGGCGGTTCTCGCTGTTCTGCCCAAGAATCCTGTCAATTTCAATGTCGACAATGTTCGCGTCGTCAAGATCATGGGTGGTAGCTTGGAACAGTCCCGTGTGATCAAGGGTATGGTCTTTGGCCGGGAGCCTGAGGGTACCATCAAGAAGGCCCGCAAGGCCAAGGTTGGAGTCTTCAGCTGTCCTATCGATATTTCTCAGACCGAAACCAAGGGAACCGTGCTCTTGAAGAATGCCCAGGAGATGCTTAACTTCTCAAAGGGAGAGGAGGAGCGCCTGGAGGCGGCCATCAAGGAGCTTTATGACTCCGGACTCCGTGTTGTCGTTGCTGGCTCCTCCGTCGGTGACTTGGCTCTGCACTATCTCAACCGATTCAACATTCTTGTCATCAAGATCCTTTCCAAGTTCGAGCTTCGTCGTCTCTGCCGTGTCGTTGGCGCTACACCTCTTGCTCGTCTTGGTGCTCCCATGCCCGACGAGATGGGCAGCGTTGACGTTGTCGAGACCACTGAGATTGGCGGTGACCGTGTGACCGTTTTCCGTCAAGAAGAAGCCAACGCTGTGACGCGTACTGCCACCATTGTCCTTCGTGGAGCCACTCAGAACCACCTCGACGACATCGAGCGTGCCATTGATGACGGCGTCAACGTCGTCAAGGCTATCACGAAAGATCCTCGACTTGTTCCTGGCGCTGGCGCTACTGAGATTCAGCTTGTGGAGAAGATCTCTGCATTCGCTGACAAGACCCCCGGTTTGCCGCAGTATGCCATTCGCAAATACGCCGAGGCTTTCGAGGTCATTCCTCGTACTCTCGCAGAATCCGCTGGCTTAGACGCCACGGAAGTTCTCTCACGTCTCTACACTGCACACCACCGCACGAACAAGGCCTCCGAGTCGGAGGAGGAGTCGGAAGAGGGCAGCTCCGAGGAGGAAGAGCCCTACTGGACTACAGGTGTTGATCTGGAGGCTGGTTCTTCGACCGGCACCTTGGATGCGGTTGATGAAGGTATTCTGGATCTCATGGCATCGAAGAGCTGGGCCATCCGCCTCGCTAGCGAGTCCGCTCGGACAGTCCTCAGTGTTGATCAAATTATTGTCGCCCGACAGGCGGGTGGTCCAAAGCCTCCAGGCCCTAACCCCAACTGGGATGAAGATTAAATGGTTGTAATATGACGAAAACTTTATAGTATGGGGGCACAATACAGGATGCTACTGGAAGCATGATCTTACGAAAAAGTCTATTGACTGGAAATTTGAGACAACATGTATAAGCCATGTGACTATAAGAGTAATACTATCTATGAATTTCAACCTAGAGCGACTAGTAGTTATAACATTCAATCTTGTGCTCAATCGCTATATCTCGTCAATGAATGAATCTGGCACTCCGATTATATCTTGGCCTTGAAGTGTGCAGTATCACGTGACTCAATTGGATTTTCCGGGCCGAAGCCTCAACTTTCTTTTTCAAGAGTATCGATTGATCGCGTTGTCCAGGCCTTCATCGTTCCTGTCCCACATCCTCCCTTCGTCTTTCCAGTTACGACCGTCAATTCCGCCGTTCAACATGTCACTCACTTCGCAGGCCGCAGCTCGCTGCTGCAGACAGCTCGTCCGTCCCTCCGTTCGCATCTCTTCCACCACATATCTGAGCCAGCGGACACCCAGCCGGAGGTGGAACTCGACAGAGGCGCAGGCTGCTGCTCCTGCCAATCCCAAGATCACCCAGATTGTTGACCAGATCAGCCAATTGACGCTTCTGGAGACGGCGGATCTCGTTGCCAGCTTGAAGGTCGGTTTTCTTCGTGTCCTGGGTGGTATCGCAATTCGGTCCACCATTTGGTGTTGGGTGTAACTCATCAACGCTTGATGAGGGTTGACTGCTGCGTTGTTGCCGTACTGACATTGGTCTCTTCTACAGTCCCGCCTGAATATCCCCGACCTCCCCGTTGGGGGCTTCGCCGTTGCTGCCGCTCCTGGTGGCGCCGCTCCCGCCGCTGCTGAGGAAGAAGAGGCTGCCCCCGCCGCGCAGGAAAAGACTCTTTTCAATCTGAAGCTTGAGACAGTGGATGCTGCCTCCAAGGCTAAGGTCATCAAGGAGATCAAGGGTCTGCTCGGCCTCTCCCTCGTCGACAGCAAGAAGTTCGTTGAGTCGGTACCCAAGCTCATGAAGGAGTCTGTGCCCAAGGAGGAGGCGGAGAAGATCATCGAGACCCTGAAGGCCGTGGGTGCCAAGGTTGTCATGGAGTAGGCTCACGTCAGATGATTTCTATTAATTGGTCATCCTCATTTTCTGTCTGCTGAATGAGCAATGGGGGCTTGTATGGATCTGTACGCTGTGGGTTGGACTGCATCATCCTGCTGGAGTTTTATGTCTCGCACCGCCTCTTCTTTATGTGTTTTACTTCTCCGTCATATATCTCTGCACGGTTCCTGATATAACTGGAAAACGGGAAAAAGGCGGCAAATGTACATTATCAACTTTTGTTTGGACAATCTGGATACAAGCTGGACGGACAGTTCTTTTTTGGTGTTCATGAGCCATTCGTTATGATAGATGGTGGTGCATTACATGTTCATGGTTTATTGTCACTGGGTGTTCACCCTCGACTTCTCTATAGTCCTGCGGCTCATCTGGCAATTCTGAAGCATGGCCGTCATCTTCAATGTAACGAAGTCAATTGTAGATTATACATAGTGGCGAAAGATAGATCAGTTCGTGCTCCATGCAGTATATTCGCCCTGTGATGGGAATAGAGTGCGGCACACCTCCGAAGTTCACTCCGCCACAACTCCGAATCAACAAATCTTCCGCAGATCATTTTACAGAGCAGACCCTTCCACCTCCGAGCTTCACTAAAGCTACAATGTCGCTTGCACGAACATCCAACGCCCTTCGAAGATGGCCTTGTCTCTATGATAAGCCTCCACTCTCACTCTCCACCAGCTACATCCCCAACAACACCCGTCTCTCGGACAATCGCACCCCTCGCACTACCAAACACAAAACCACCTCTCCGCAAACATCCAGGCCATTTCACTGCACAGCCTCCTGCGATGCAGCTCGATCCCCGGCCGCCCGTCGAGCTCAGGCTCAGACTCAGCGGCTCCGGCCAGTCTACTCGAGTGATGGCCTGTTCAACGTCCCCGCGCACGGGGACTTGACAGCGCGGCTCAAGTACCTCGACGAGAAAGGACCGCTGCTATGGATGTCTGCATTGGCCGAGGGGCTCCTTGACGACAAAGTCACGAAAAAGATGTTTCTGGATATCGCAAAGAGATTACTGGAAACTGCTCATAGAGAGCTGCCTTCGGGGGACGCCATTCGAGGGATATCTTCAGGTGCGACCACCCTCTGCAACCCTCCAATTACTCCAAAGACGCATCCCTAACCCTCCAGCGCCCACATAGACCCGGACCTCGTCTTCCAGATCGGCTACATCGTCTCCAGCGGCAACCCAACCTTCCGAGAATGGCTCCTCGCCTCCGCCACTCACGCAGGCGCCCGCGTCCCCCTCCTCATGTCCGCAGCCCGGTACCTGAGATCCCTGGGCGACACCGCCCCAGTCCGCACCCCGACCCTCGAGAAAGTCGAGCGCCTCGCCCTCCAGGACCGCGACCCGCGAGCCATGACTCTCCACGCCAAGATCCTCGGCCTCCGGAAACGCTACGCTGATGCCCTCCGCCTCATCGAGCAGGTCATGGCGCTCATCTACCCGTCCAAGGTGCCCGTCGCGAAAGATGGGGGGTTCGCGATGGCGCGCATCGAGCCGCCTTGGCGGGTCTACGTGTGGCTGAAGGAGAAAGCGCAAACGCAAACGCAAGCGAACGCGAAAACGAAACCGGGGGAAGCTGCCACTGACGCCGAGGCTGGGGCCCAGACTGATGACCTCCTGCGTTCCGCCGCGCTGGACTACCATGACCCCGAGTCGCTGGTCCAGTATGCCACGGCGCGGATGCAAGCGGGCGATCTGGCCATGTACGAGGACTGCATGAGCCGGGCCGCGACGGCGGGGAACACGGACGCGTGCCGCCGACTAGCCAACTTCTACTATCTCACTTCGCTGGGGCGGTATCCGCGGCGTGGGATGAACGAGTCCACGGCCCCCGTGGATGCAGGCGAAGCTGCGACAAGCTCAGCCTCAACCCCAGCCTCGCAAACAAGGGAACCGAGCAACCGGGGGAAATTCATTGCTCTGCTTTCAAACGTATTCGGGCCTCAGCCTCGTGCGGAGTACCGCAAGCTAGCCACGGAATGGTACGAGTTGGCCTTCAGCCATGGCAATGAGCAGGCCGCTTTGGTTCTGGCGGTGCTGCTGCGGGAAGATGGCTCCGCCTCTCGGGGGTTGCAGTTGCTGGAGCAGATTGAGGGATCGCCTTGGCTTGGGCCCCTCGTTAGACAGATCAAGTCGCAGTGGGATGATCAGGGTCAGAGGGTTGGTATCCCTGTTGAGCTGCTGGACGTTTGATCTACCGCGTATGATCTCCTGGCAAATGCCTCTACATGTCTGTATGTTTTTTTTTTTTTTTTTTTTTTTTTTTGATACCCATGATGGATGAGATCTTTCCTCGAGTAGTCCTACTGTTATTCTCATAGCATCTAGCCATCGTACGGTCGGCTTGGACGCCACTGAAGCAGATCTATGGCTGTGTTGTGAGGTGGCTGCAGACCAGATCAACGCTTACTGTGTTATTGTCCTTGGCTTGACAGTCTCGCAAGAGATCGATTCTTCAGGCGCGTGACCGAGAATATTACTGAGTCACTGACAAGATATTTTCTGACCATGTAGAATGCATTCTTGCCAATTCAACAGGTCGTACTCAACACCACCAGAAACGAATCAAGCTGGTTTGATTTGGTCATAAAAAGAGAAACAGCAAACGCAGATGGTATCGACCAATTCCTCTCATATCATCGTGACTGCACGCTCTTCGCGCGAATAAAATGACTAGTAACATAGTCCATGAATCAAAATCCAACGCCTGTGGACCTCCCTGTATGACCAAAAATGACCACCCGAAAGATATATAATGCAAGTCATGATCTCGTTGCAGGGAAATCGACCTTGTATCGCACATCATCTCCGCCTCCCCTTGCCCTTCCCCTTGCCCCTGGTTTTGAGCTCCACGAACCCGAGTTCCTTCAAAGCCTCGGTCAGAGGTGACGAGTCCCTCATTCCAGGGAAGTCTTTCGCGGGATACACGCGGAAAGGATTGGACCAGACTTCAGCCAGGATGGGCATGGATTGACCCGTATCTTCCACAAGACCCCAGTTCATGAGCCGGAACTGTAGCCGATAGACGCCAGCAGAGCGGATCGAGAGGTCCGGGAAGATGAAGAACGTCGCGGGGACTCGCACTTTGGCCAGAGCCAACCCGTCGACAGAATTAGGCGCATCAGGCTTTGTCTCTACCTTGGTATCCGCGCTAGTGGGATGATGCGGGGCCGTCTGGGGGTCCGGGTCCAAGTCGACGTGGAAAGGAGAAACAAAGGCTTTCCCTGAAAGCAGCGGCGTGCACTGGCCAGGGGCATTCTCTTCAGCCCTTTGCGAGGCCGTGCGCTCCTCTCGGTTCGCGCACGCCCCATCTGCTTCGGGCGAGCCGGGCCACGAAGTCGCTGCTGATACTGGGAGAAGCAGACAGCCCACGGTAAGCCGAGGATCTTGAAGGGTGTCTAGATCGGCCTGCGATTGCGGGTCGAAGTCGGTGAGGAGCATCTGGATGATCGGGGGTGGATCTACTGGTCGTCGGTCCCTATCGCCAGCACCGCAAGCCCGAGCAGCTATGGGTTGTTGTCGGATGTGCAGGTGGTAACGTGGGGAGGCCGAGTCTCGTCTTGGGGGCGGCTGAGGCTCCGGAGAATGATTGAGTAACTTATCGAATCCCATCGGAATGCCTGACGCGACTTGTCGCTGCGGTTGCGAGGGTAGGGTTTGTAACAGATTTAAGCCGCCATTAAGCGCTGCTGAGCCGCGGTCAGCATGAACAGGATTGGGGATTGTCGTGGGATTACTGTGTGGAAAATGGTTGGTTAGCACTGCGGGGGATGAATGATTCAAACAGGAGCCGTCCGGGAGCAATCTCCATGTACATTGAATTTTCCGTTTCTCTCTCTCTCTCTCTCTCTCTCTCTCTCTCTTAGTTCTGGAAGAGCGGATGACTTACCGAGAATCGACGTCCTCTGTACGCTCTTTGAGGCCAACCGAAATTTGTCCATGACTGCGATCTGAAACCCCGTGGTGAGGAAAGTGGGAATAACCTGCATCTCTTGGCTGACCGCTTCGTCGCACTTTGATTTGGCCCGGGGAATCAGCATTGGGAGAGCTAATGCTATCCCAATATTCTGTACCCCTGGGTTGACCGCTCCGTCGTACTTTGATTTGGCCTAGGAGATCTGCACTGGTAGGGGCGATACTATCCCAATGATCCGCTCCCCTTGGCTGACCGCTTCGCCGTATTTTTATCTGGGGTAGGGAATCAGCACTGGCAGAGGCGACGTTATACCTCTGCTCGATGCCGCCGTCCCAAGGGTTGACAGAAGAAGAGAATCGGGAGTCAGTCGCAGGGGAGACGACTGGCGGATCGTAGCCCTGGGTGCCATGAAAGATAAACGGCGGTGGAGGTTCTTGCTTAGAGTAGGAAGAAGCTGGATTTGGAGTCACCTCGCCCTGTTCACCGAAGGACGCGGGAGTTCTCGAGTTGAGATATCGGCCGTCGGAAGTGGAATAATTCCATTGTGGAAACGGCGTGTCCGACATCTATGCAGAACCGCACCGGTTCTCGAGGGGACTGTCCTCCTTTGCCTCCGTGTAACCGTTCACTGCGTGTTAGAAGAAGGCAGAGGGCGAAGTCCCGCGATCTGCAAGGAAGCGAGGCATCCGTGTATGAAACTGAATGCGGTTTGAGAATGGGGTTGACTGTGTGAGGGGATTGAGTGATATCCTGATTCGTGCAAAGAAGCAAACTGATGATACTGTTCTGAGAAGACAAGCAAACATTTATTCCAATGGATGCTGCGCGTTGATGATAACAAGATCGGGACGCAAGACGATTATGGACAGTCGATCTTGGTTCTGCTAGAACAGAAAAAGGCGACAAGATCAAGAAGATCACCCGTTGTGGATCAATAAAGTCGAATCTATCTGAGCATGTTAGTTAGTATGGATAATTTGCATATACGTTGGCTCTTCCCCACGGCGACGTGTGGGCCACGGCCGTCAGGCGCAGCTGCTCTCCACCACCTTTAGATTGGAGGGAGTTCGAAAGACACATGCTCAAGGAAACAGAATATAAGGGGCTGAAACGGGAGGGACAAATCAGCGAAGGACAAGCATCTGCTTGCCGAATGAGAGAGGTTGATGATGCTCCGAAGGACGAGTGGGTGTACCTAGAGTACACAGTAATAGGACTACTGACCCTGGGATGAACAACACCTTAGAGCATCCTCAAATCAACCAATCCAAGCTCAAGTAGAGTATCAAATGGAGCCAACGCAACCAGGATGCTGGGCGGACGTACCGACAGTTTTGTCAGTAGTAATAACTAGTAGGTGTGCGTGCCCAGAGTCCTTGTGCGTGTCGATGATGAAAGAAAAGGAATGAACAAGCACAGGCGACCATGCAACAGCAGCAGCAGCGCGTCCCTGGCAGATGAATTACAAGGTAAGACTTCGTCTGAGTGTGTCTTGAGAAGAGCAGAGAATAGAAATCATAATCAAAACTAAAATTACATACGAGTCTGGTGGAGGAAAAGTGCACTCACCGTTTTCCAACAGCCCAGAGCCAACGCCAGGGCAAGCACCTGCCACCAAGACAGAGGACGAGAGGGTGGGCCCGGATTATTATTGATATTATGATTTAGTTCCAAGATCAGCACCAAAACCGCTGGAACTGGAACCGTGGATTCCTGGAAAGTGGATAGCCTGGAAGGCTGGAGCCGAGAATAAAATAGAGTGCGGCGAAAAAGCTCCAGGTTCCAGGATTCACATTGTCTACCGAAGTTAAGACCAGGTAACTGACTCGGAAATACTCTGTTAGTGCAGTAAGCAATGAGTTTGATTAATGCGAGCCGAGGAAATTGTGTGAGTGCGAAAAAAGGGGTTGCAACTTGCAAGTTGATAGTTACCTGATTCCTGACTGCTGAGAAAGACCCCGTATCATGAATTCATGGGGAAAATGCCCTGCTTACCCACGGGGTACTAAGGTATCGGAGGGTATGGTTATTATGGAAACAAGAGGTCTCGTAACAATGGTTTTGCTGGACTGTTGATTTGTATTATTTTGTAGGTATCCACAAGAGGGAGCAGGGAGTCTAGCGACTCGACTATTGCGCGAGCTGAGTTTACTGTGGACTGTGTGGTTGTACCTAGTAGATAGAACTTATGCAAGCCAACGTGAGCAATCAGTACCCAATAGATAGATCCTGAATAAACCCCAAAATAACCATACTGATATTCAGTATCAAGAATTTCTAGGGAGTAATTACCTAGTGCTATTGAAGCCGGGGGTTAAAAGATGCGATCTAGTGTAACCAGGACGCTGGACGCCACGTACGGGATATTGATTGATTGGTCGCAACTCAGAAACTCTCCACACGAAATCTAGGTAGGCGTGGTCTTTTCGATCGAATCATCAAAGCCTTTAAAAAGAGGTTGACGAGTTGATGATCCAGTAGAAAGGTCCAGGATCTCAGGAGACAAGACTGGCGAGTAGCGGTCGGGAAATCCGCCACTTTGATGGTGGTCTTTACCCTGACTCGGCAGATATGGTAGAGGTGCAGGTGTTCCTCTACTACCTTAGGGTCGTTTGAGTCATTTGATAGAGGACTAAGGAATGAGGTTCGCGGATCAGATATCTATCCAGACTCCAGATGTGAACGGGTACAGCCATTGGACTCGGTGGCTCGCCGTAGAGGATCTCGAATCTCGATCCTCGAATGACCGAACCGCGATCCCAGGGAATAGTCGGAGTGATTCGATCGCCCCGCATACACGAAGACCCGGAAACGATAGCGAGTTAGTGACAGGGACGAAGTCACGAAGGGAGTTACTCGGCGCTTCATTTGCTTGCGGGCCTACCTCAATAATAGCCAGCCACGATCTCCATATCTGCATCATCAGTTCAACACTCCAGCTGGAGAAAATGAGGCGCAGTTCGAGCAAGGCAGGCACTCGACTTCATATTTTCGACGGTGATCATGTGTCCCTTCAATTTCGCATTCGCTCCTCCCAGGCGAGGGATATGCACACAAAGAGGACTAACGCAATGCGAGGTTGCCTTGTTCCTTAGTATGGTTGATACGTCACACACTTGATCCAATCCTTCTGGAAGCCAAGGACTCAAGGCACTCTGTACTCCGTACATCCAACGGTTATGTGATCCGTCCCCGATGACAATGATGATTGACCGGTCACGCTAGGATCTTGGAGATCTTGCGAGCAGCGAGCGTATGACTCAAAATTCGGAGTTGATATTTGGACGGAGTCCTCCATACCGTTGTGGTATTTGGCGCGCATAACTCTCATGTAACTCCGCCAGCCAATCTTCTTCATTTGGGCTTGCAGAGGGACTCTGGTTCCATTGGCTGTCGTTGGGGATTGAGCAGTATTCCCAGGGCTTCCTGCAATGCCATGTTATTCCTACACAGTGATTCCTGGTTGTGTAACTGCAAGGATCCGAATGAGGGAGTAGCTCACCATCATCAACCTGCACCAAACACATTAAGCAATGTCGGTCAAAATCACAGAATGCTTGATTGCTGTCGAGGAACGGCCGCCGCCCTCATCTCGATATTGTTGACATACTTGTGTGGACCACAGCAAAATGATTCCGTTAAACAGCAGCTGACAAATAGACACAAGACGCTCATCTAATCAGTGCATTATCTCAAAAGGTCCGAGTCTTTTGGGCAGTCAATCGGACCAGCCGTTCCGAGATTCAGGAGGAAACAATGAGATGACGTTGTGTTTCTTGTCAAATGCCAATAGATCCCGGAATTTTCAGTATCTTGCATGCACCTCAAACGAAGTCGATTCGCTTGAGGAAACCACCTAGTAGTCATAGACCTCGCTAGTAGAACCTGCCCATTGCCATCCAGGGGATCTGAGAAAAGAAAGTCCACAAAGCGCGCCCCGCTTGTCCGATACGGAAATAAGTAATACGCTCACTAAGGTAGAGTTTGTATATCAAGCACTGCAGTTTTTGAGCGGGAAGAAACCCAGCAGCCAGATACTATTGTGAAGGATACGGCATTTCTTTTCTTCCTTCTTAAATCGGGTCAATGCGCCTCTGTACCTTAATGGGTGAGACGAGGATCAGGTGCATGCAATTCTACGCGGCGTGCGCGGCTTCCCGCGAATTGATCATACTCTTTGAGGCCTTTGAGGCTTGATCTGAACAGACACAGCCTGATCAATCATTCTTCCTCCGGACGGATATCACGAAAGAAGAAAATGTGTCTATCATCATGGCCGTCCGAATCCCAAGCTGGATGAAATATACTGTACACACAGCATTGTCGGCAAATCGAGCTCTTTTCATCCCGTACATGAGTCATTCCATCAATGCTTGATCACTGTCCAAGTCGCACGGAGAAAACTACCTAATCACATCATTACAGCCACGCCGAGATATCCTGCCTTGATGGTCTCAAGCCACAATTGGTAATCGGCATGTGCTTGGTGCCGCAGAGTGCAGACGCAGCTCATTCTGTTTATATCTGAACCGTCGCTAATTAGGTCTTTCAGCTGATGCTGCCTAGCCGCTGGCCTAGAGGAATATAGCTTGTCGATCCAATATGCGCCTTACACTTGGCAATTGGGCAGGTTTGGGACCATGGCTCGCCCTGCTCGAGTACCAGTGATGGACCAATCCGAAGCAGCAACCAAAGAAAGCAAGTGGCCATTGCTCAAGTCACCAAATCTGGACATGGATCCACGTCAAGATGGCATTTGGTGATATCGAATTCCGGCGAAGAATGGTTGTCACTGTAATGAGTCCCGTTCACGTCGCCCCCCAGCTTGATTTTCACTATTGAATTGAGATCAGGTGGTGTCCGTGGGATATGCGACAGGATGCCCGGGCTTATTCGGCCCTGAGCCTTCCCGACAAAGACTGCGAAGAGTTGGCCTGAAGTGCGGTCTAGGGCTACTATATGGCCGGATTCTCTCCACTCGTGCTCTGAACTGGGTGCTTTGAGCTTCATGATCAGAAATCCCAGTTGCATCAGGTGCAGTGAGCGAGTATCTGTTGGTGACAACCCGGCATTTTGAGGGTTGAGCCGAAGCAAACCTAGGGAGGAAGGTGAGTATGTCGTGTGTTCACCCGATCTTACTTCAGAAGAGTCTAGAACATCGACGGGGCAGCGTTGAGGCACCCAGGCCAGCTCTAGCGGTGTGCTTTCAGTGGACGATTGAACAACCGGGATTTGTTCACCTCCATGCTCGTCTAAGCAATTGGCAAGTCTCGCGAGGTCTGAAAGCGATCCAGAGCAACCTAGAGCGTGGATTTCAGCAATCAAGCGTTCGCTGCTTTCATATCCAGTACTGTCTCCATCCATCGTAAGAAGAGGATGTCCGGTCGCAATGTAACCGAGGTCAGATATACTAGTGTGAAGTGATTGTTCGGGGTGCCAGTTGATCCCCAGCCTCTGTTCCATGTGTTCCAGCTGGACTTCGAGTATCTTGAGGTATTCATTCTCGCCAGAAAGCCGAGATAGCAGTTCGCAGAGTTCTCGATTAGCGAGAAGTGCACTCAGATTTCTGAACTCTGATATATAAGGGAGAGCATTGCCAGCATGCTCCGAGATTTCTTTCAGATACGTGGTGGCCCTCGCGATATCCCCGTTCACAATCAGGGCCATTATGCAGGAATAGGCTATGTGGAAATCGTGATCTGCTGATTTGGCAGATAAACGCTCAAGAACACGGTCCCATATCCTATGGAGCAATTTATGGCTCTTTAGCTTGACGAGCACTCTAAAATAACGTTCAATTGATGCCGCCAATTTTCCGGGCCCAGCCCAGCACAATATGGTGTGCAAAGTGAATTCTGAGGCATGACCGACACCGGATTCGCCAGTCACTTGTTTGAGCATAAAATCGGTATCTGGATGATCCCCTTGAAGCTCGAAGGATCGGATAGACCTGTAAAGCGCATCCACCAGGGCGACACTCGAGTCCAAATCCAACCGCCTATTGCTCACAGCAAGGTAACCTCTCAAATGTCGTTCGAGGGCAGCTGCAGAATAAGAAAGGCATGCGTAGTAAATTCCCAGTGTATATAAATGCCTAGATAGAGGTGCTTGCAGTCTCTGTAGTCTTGAAACGAGTGCATTGATAGCGACAAGAATCTCCGCAGCTGAGTGTTGTCGTTGACAGCGCTCAAGCGCCTGTGCCAGAAATCTACAACGATCTGCCTGCAGCAATGCACAAGGCTCACGTCCATTAATGTGCCTTTCTATGAAGATCTGTAGATGACGAAGATTTCGCACATCATGCTTGAGAGCTTTGAAAAACACTTCCTTATCAGTGCTGCCGGTCTTTGGGCGGAGAGAGCTCCACAAGGGTGGAGGTAGAGTAGTCAGGGGCCATTCGCCTAAGAACACATCGTTCAGATGGTCGTCCAAGTCCTGCTTCGTTACATCTTGTCGTAATGGTTTTGTCGTTCCCGTCAACGCGAACCGAAGAATCTGAGATGGAGTAGGCTCATGGTTTGGGGGCTTTCTTTTAGTGGTTACCGATACCGCACGATACTGTTGTTGCGATCCGTAGCGCTTTGGGAGGCTGAGATGCTTCAATGGAAGACCAACTCTGCGATATGGAAAGTAAGCCATCTGCCACTTAGCATTGCTAGGAGAATCGTAAACCGATCATCTTTCCCTGAAATATCGATGATGGGAGTAAGATTTGGGGCCTGAGAACAGAATACAACAAGCCACTCTGAAGGCGGTAAAGCACAATGGTGGTCAAGGATAGCGCTGTTGTAGACTCTCAGTTTCATCATTGGTCCTGCATCCCGCTTCCGTCTATCTCGCCAGACTGCAAGATTGTTTTGAAGGCCTACAAAATAACTTTTACCTGTTTCGACACATATTTCAACGAGAACCTTCTGAAGTGCCTGTGTGACTGCCACGATTATGCCTTCTGAGCGCGTTAACGAAGTGTCTGCGGCAAAACCTTCCGATGACAACGCCGCTTCTAACCAGGCTCAGTCTGATGAAGCTCCTGCTGAACCAGCAGCTTCGGAAGAGTCTCAACAAGAGAACACCTCGGAAAAATCAGAGAGTAAAGAAGATGATGCAGCTGCAAAGGCTCGCCAGCGGCAAGAGAGATTCAAAGCCCTTCAAGCTCGTGCTGTGAGTAATCCGGTCGCAATCGTCAAATGATCCAGAATTTCAGCTTCTCGCTTGCCTTCTGACGGTCGTGTACTTGCTGACGGTCAAACAGAAAAATGCAGCTGAGCGCAACCTGAAAGAAACGGCGGCCGAAACCCAGCGTCTTGCCACTGATCCTGCATTGCTCTCTTCATTGTCGCGCAAGCACGCATTTGCATCTCACAACCTTCTCAAAGCAGATACAGAGGCTTCCGGCGAAGACTTTGAGCGTAAGAGAGCCTGGGATTGGACCATCGACGAATCCGAGAAATGGGATCGGCGTATGGAGAAGAAGCAGCGTCACCGGGACGACGTTGCGTTTCAGGACTACACGCAGGATGCACGGAAAGTTTACAAAAGACAGCTACGTGAAATGCAGCCTGATCTGGAGGCCTATGAAAGGGAGAAGCTGGCTGCGATTGAAAAGGCAGCTGCAAATGGGGACTTGGAGATCGTTGAAACCAATGATGGTGAGATGATTGCGGTCGACAAGAACGGCACTTTCTACTCGACGGCAGATACGATCGGATTCACGGAGAACAAGCCGGATCGAGCTGGTGTCGACAAATTGGTCGCGGACTTGAGAAAGGCCGAAGAGGTCCGACTTAAGAAGCGCAGGGAACGCCGTGGTGAAGAAGAACCCGACGTCACCTATATCAACGAGAAGAACAAGCAGTTCAACCAGAAGCTGGCACGATTCTACAATAAGGTATGGTTCTTTACGAAAACTTCGAGTTTACAAACGAAGCTAATGCCTCCCAGTACACTACGGAGATTCGTGACAGTTTTGAACGTGGTACAATGATTTGATCTAGTGCTACCTGCTTAGGTCTAATATACAGAGCGGGACTCCTTGATATGTCCAGGCATTATTTGACAATCAGTGAAGTGCATAGCCTCGTCCACCTCTCGGCAGCAGCCTGCCGAGGCAATCTCCAAAACATGAGAGGTTGGATTCAAAGCATGCTTTTTCTCCACGCCTTAGTTGCCAGGTTTTCGATCTGCTTCGTTCCTACCGCACCGCGAATGGACTCGTCTTCCATCGCTTCCACCACAGCTTCGCCCACAAGATCCACCTGGAAAGGCTTATCGACCATCGCACCGAGGAACCGAAGCCTGTCACCTAAGAGAGCGTTGAATTGGGAGGCAACAAAACCACCCAAGGCTATCGGCAGTGTGAATTTTCTGCTTGAATCATACATGAAGGGCGGTCTGATGAAGATACTTCGCATCTCTGGCAGTTCGGACGCTATGGTTGTCTCAGCTTCTCGCTTCGTCGTGATATATCGACTGGGTAGGATTGGTGCTCCCGCAGCGGCTGATATGTATACGAATGTTGGAACATGTTCGCAGGATGACTCCTGCGCTAGTGCAATGGCTGTTGTTTCCAGTTCGCCAGTCAGCCCCGCATATTTAGCAATTTGATAGTCCCAACATATACGAACCAGAATCCCTGTTCATGAGCTCATATGTCAACTGTCCGTCTCTCTCCTTAGGCTCCAGCGGCTCTCCCTCTCGCCTTGTCAGAGGGTTCTGGCTACCCAGCTTCGACGAGCTGAAAGCCCTCTGTAGGCCACTGACGACTGGCTCTTTCCCTCGTACCACGCCTTTGTAATCTGCTTCAAGTAGAATGCCCATACTGTGGACCACGACATCGGCATCACGCAAGAAAGGTTTATATGTGTCTGGCTTAAGTAGATCTGCCTTAGCCCATTCAACCGAATTGGCCCAGGTTGGCCGATCGCGTGAGCTGGTAACAGTATCCCATCGAGGTTCTCCGGATCGACTATGACGTCTAAGCAGGCGCCAGCAAGACCGAAATTCAGAGTGTGAAAGAATACCTTAGAGATGTGACAGCCCAGCCTCGGTTCACTGCTGATTTACAAATTCGCGATCCTAATTGAAAGTCAACCATTAGCATAACGCTATTCAAGAGCGGTAGCATCACCCACCTAAGAAGCCGTTTCCGCCGGCAACTACTACTCTTTTCGAAGCCATTCTTGTAAACAATTGATGAGGAGATTTGTGTGTTTCGCAATTCTGAGAAATAGACTAAATGAACAGTAGAAAGAAAATCGTTCTTTATATGTGCCTCAAATTCATCAATAAAAATGCCGGAGCTAAGCTAAAGCTGCGGAACGCCTGCTTCCGACTATCGTCATCGGCCATCGATCATTGATTATCGGTCACGTCACGTGCCGATCGAAGGATCCCAGGTCAGTTTGCGGTACAGGCCCGAAGAGGTGAACCCAGAGGTCTACATTCCAACAGTTCATTTAGAGCCCGTCAAATTTGTCGCGTCTCTGATTAAACCTTACGTTAATATCACGCAGTATGCCTTCAGCAACTGGAACCAAGCGCGTCAGGGTTTGTGGCAGGTTGATCTTTTAATCGTTTGCAGTATACTGACCAGTGGTCTTCACAGGGTGTCTCCATTTTCAGACCCTTCGGTGTGTTAACTTGCCCATCCTCTCGAATTTTATGGGACTTCCAGCCTCTAACCCTTCCCAGTTTTCGGCAGCGAAGCACGGCCATTCGACCCGGAGAAGAAACCCCCTCACGTTCCAGCGGATCACACCCACCAGTGGCGCGTATTTGTGAAAGGAGTCAATGACGAGGACATTTCCTACTGGCTGAAGAAGGTTCAGTTCAAGCTACACGAGACATACGCGCAGAATGTACGCACTATCGAGCAGGCACCGTTCGAGGTGACCGAGACCGGCTGGGGTGAATTCGAAATCCAAATCAAGCTCTACTTCGTGCCGGAGTCCGGCGAGAAACCACAGACACTATGGCACAGTTTGAAGCTACACCCATACGGGCCCGGCGCGGAGGGCAGGAAAGAGCGCAGGGAGGTGGTGATCAGCCAAAATTACGAGGAAATTGTCTTTAACGAGCCTATGGAACCATTCTACGACCTCCTCACGGGCGGACCTGCGTCCTCACAAACGCAGAAGGGCAAGGGAGGGAAGAATACAAAGCAAGCTGCGCAGCAGCGCGGGGGTCGAACGGCCGAAATTCCTCAGAATGAGACCCCGGAGAATCCCTACAGCAGGACGACGGAGAACAAGGAGATGGATCGTCTAGAAGCGGCCAACAAGACGGTGGAGCAAATGATCAAGGAAGAAAGGGAGCGGCTGATCGAGCGCGAAAAGAGGCTGGCCGAGCTGCGAGAAAGCGAAGGCATCCCTGCCAACACTAAGAAGAGATGATCGTCCTTTGCCCGCCGGATAGCTACTGAAGCAGATGCTCGCTTCGACCTTATGGGCCATCACGCATCCCAATTTATCTACTAGCTACGAGGTCTCTGCAACATGCTCACCGCATGCTCTTCGTGCCCAGCAGCAAGTCGGCCCCTCTGGCACTGTCTCCTCCACCTCCATCCACCCAGCGCCCCGACAGATGAATACCATTTATGAGTCTGCAGTCATAGACACAATTTGAAGGCTCTGAGGTCGGCACATGCGCGTCGGCCCGATCACCATCTCATGGTTCGCGACTTTCAGCGCAATTGGGCTTTCCCGACGAAATGGCATGGCATACTGGGGCAATCACGACAAATTTGGGGAGTCGACGCGTGTAAATTATTTTCAAAGACCTTCTGATGCATGGCACTCTTGTCAGTCAGGCTGTTATTCTCATGCTTGCAAAAGCTCTTAGAAAATGTTCCTCGCGTCAACCTTTTACCATTGACTGTTAGATTGCGGTCCTGTAGCCAATCCATCCATTGATTGTGCCACTTCGTCTCAGATTCAAATATTACACTAGGAGGGTAGGACCACTTCAAACTGAATCTAATTTCAACTGTGAACCTCCAACGGTCGAGCCATCCGGGTCTTGTGAATGATTTTCCGCTTCCGTATCCGCTTCCGGACACATTGTCCAATCTCCACCCATAACCGCTTTGAGCCGGCTGGTCTTCAGATAGGATGATTTGAGTCCACGGTTTTGATATGACAGACTTATCGAAGAAAGTTATTTATTATGAGAGATTTGCGAAGAGGTGCGTGGCAGATTCAAGTACATGTATGATAGCGGTCGGTAGTAAAGCTGAGTTTTCATTCAGATGAATAAAGATGAAGCAATTTATGTACAATCCTAACGCCGTGATTCCATGCTCAAAAGGAAGTAGGGATATCTACTCATCAATACTTGCCTCCGGCGAGAAATCCCACCACTCAATTTCAATCTGTATATTTGGCCGCAGCTTTTGTCGTATCCCGAGTCTGTTTCAAGAATGGGATTAGGTCAGTTCCGCCTGTACCACTGTATCCTGCTGGTATGTCGTTCGGACGTTCGACTTGATTCGCTGCTGTCACGGTTGCCAGATTGACTTGCGCGGACGAAGTTTGGGTTGGTTTGTTCCTCGAAGGCGTGATAATGTATCGTGAGACCATCTGAATATGCTTATCCCGGAATACCCCAACAGCCATGACTGCCGCGTTGTATGCGTTCCTGACCTCTGTATCTGCCTTGTAGCTCATGGCGAATTGGCGCACGTTGGAGGTTCGAGTCAACATCTCCAGGAAGCGTCGGTGAGGTCCAGGCATGTAGTTTCGCATGTCCTAAGTGGAAGATAGTTAGTTTCTGGCTCGGCTGTGAATGAGGAGACCGAGTAAAAGTAGACGCTTGCCTGAATGAAGCCAATTTTAGGCTTGAACTGAGATGTGCTGTTCAATTTTGCTTCTCCCGTGGCTGAATGCTCCACACCCAAAAAGATATCGAATGTTTGGATTAGTGAGCTCTGTGCATTGCTTCCCCCACTGTACTGATGCCACTCTCCGTGGCCTCCCAGATCATAAAAGACACCCTGCGGCAGTCCAGACGAGGCCATATTCTTGCTACCAGCCAAGAAAGGGCGAAGTTGATAGAAGAAGACAGACGGGTTGCACTTTTCATACATCCTCTCCAGGATCTCGCCAAGCTCCTTTAGGCCATCACTCAATTGGTAAAGTAAAGTTGTGACTCTTTGATGTTCAGCCACGCTGACGGCATATATGGCGTTGAGCATCACGGTGATTAATTCTGCTCCTTTGGCCTCAATAGCAACAGAGATCATGAAAAACCATTCTTCGTCCTTGGTACCGGTGAACGTTGTGATGATGGACAAGTTGTCTGGGTCAGTGAGATCAACATCAGGGGAAGAAACTTTGAAGTTCCAGAGGTTCAAAGCGGCATAGGTAGCACATGGTGGCAGCTCTAAATGCTTTGAGACCTCCAGGATGGGGCACGACACTGCTGGTGGGAGGACCTGGAGAGCCATGAGAAAGCTGCAATCATACAATAACAAGGGACGCATACGTCTTTTGGCCGCTCACCTCCCCAAATATAGGCGTGAGTGATAAAAGCAAGCACAACATATGCTCGCCGCCATTCTGATTCTTCCTGCAGCCTGGAAGTTGAGAGGATAGGAAGACTGTCAACCGCTTGCCGTATTGTTCCCGCCTCGATACGAGCTGGCAGATCAGCGACGACTTCCTCCCACGGAGAGTAGTATGGATTGTTCAGTTTCTGCAGAGGAAGGGTATCGGGAAGAAACCCATTTCGAAGAGAAACGCAGTACTGGTCAAGCACGATTTCCGGTGTGTTGAGCATGACGAAGGCTTATTCGATAGTATGAGAAATGAGTGGCCAATTGTGCAAGTGACCGTGTAGTCAGAGATTCTGGCAATGAGTCTTAGAAAGAGGAACATTCACTCTGTCCATGTCGAAACCTGAATATATGGGAAGGAACTGGTCAGACGGAAGAGGGCCGGATCCAACCCGGAACGATAAATATGTCTTTGCCTAGGTGGCATGAGCATAGAGCACGGCGAAGAGATAATGAGATATTTGATAGATGGGAATATGTCTACTCGTGCCATCTAATCGCCATACCAATAATAGTAAAACTGATATCGTGGGTGTCATTGTTTGACAATCGTTCCTTCCGTGAGCACGGATATTGAGGCGGAAGCGGATAAGCTTCCGGCTTCCTTCCGGGTCGATGGAATCATCGAGACAACGTATAAAGCAAGGAGTGTCGGACAGGTCGTCAGAAGTCACAATCCAGTTGCTGTTATTTCACGCCAACAGCACTCGCTTCAGATCTTCATCCATCATGTCTACCAACGGCACACTATCCAAGCCTGAATTCCCTGCCAATGCGGCAACCAAGGAGTATGCGGCCTCTCTGGACGCTGCAGACCCGCTCGCAGGCTTTCGTGAGAAATTCATTATCCCATCGAAGGCAAACATTGCCTCCACCAAACTAGCGAAGCCTGGTAGGTATGATTGTTCCCCAAATAGCCGCTCATCGTCGCTGACAGATCTTCCTTAGGCCTCTCATCAGAACCATGTATCTACTTCTGTGGCAATTCCCTTGGTATTCAGCCCAAAGCCACCCAGAAGTATCTGGAGGCGCAATTGGACACATGGTCGTCAATTGGTGTCTGTGGTCACTTCACCAAGATCGAAGACTCCCCATTAAAGGAGTGGCAGAATCTGGCTGAGCAGGCTGCCGAGTCCATGTCGAAGATCGTGGGGGCGGCGCCCGAAGAAGTCGCAGCAATGGGTACATTAACAATGAATCTGCACTTGTTGCTCGCAAGCTTCTACAAGCCAACTGCAACCAAACGTAAGATTCTGATGGACTGGAAGGCGTTTCCCAGCGATCATGTGAGTTTGATAGCGTCGCAATTCCCGCGTGAGTTATGCTAAACTGACTCCAGTATGCCATCGAATCACACATTGCCTGGCACGATCTTGATCCTAAGGAGACCATGGTGCTCATCGGTCCAGATGAGGGAACATATGAAATCCCAACAGAGAAGATCTTGTCTTACATTGATCAGCATGCAGACGAGGCAGCTCTCATCCTGCTTCCGGGAATCCAGTATTACACAGGGCAATTATTCGACATGCCGAAGATCACCGAATATGCGCACTCGCGAGGACTTGTTGTCGGATGGGATCTGGCTCATGCCTACGGCAATGTCCTCCTCAAGTTACACGACTGGAACGTCGATTTCGCAGCTTGGTGCACTTACAAATACGGTAACGCCGGCCCTGGGGCAATGGCAGGTCTCTTCGTCCATGAGAAGCATGGTCAAGTCGACTACAGCGAAGGAGAGGATGCGCCAAAGTTCCGACACCGTCTGACTGGGTGGTATGGAGGCGATAAATCAGTGAGGTTTAAGATGGACAATAGTGAGTTTCAGTCTTCCGTGCAATTGACTTGACCCTATTCAGTTCTAACGTCAGAGTAGAGTTCAAACCTATCCCTGGGGCGGGTGGTTACCAGATTTCGAACCCTTCTGCGATCGATCTTGCATCCTTGTGCGCTGCTCTGTCGGTGTTTGATGAGACGTCCATGGCTGAGCTGCGCAAGAAATCTGTCTTGATGACGGCGTATCTCGAATACCTGCTGTTAAAGGACACCACGGACGAGTCGCGGCAATACCAAATTATCACGCCTTCTGATCCTGCCGCTCGAGGTGCTCAGCTCAGTCTTCTGCTTAAGCCTGGGCTTTTGCACAAGGTAGCTCATCGACTGCAGGAAGCCGGGATTATCTGCGACAAGAGAGAACCAGGCGTTGTCCGCGTCGCACCTGTTCCGTTGTACAACACTTTCACTGAGATCTGGATGTTTGTCGAGCAACTGAAGGCAGCTCTGGAAGAATGAATTTGGCTGAGCCGTCATGTTCAAGGCTCAATTATAACATGAGACGATTTTCGGTTTCTTCATCGTTTGATTTGTATTCATATGGCGAATCCGGCAAGGAAAATGAAGATAGAGGAATACCCAAGATGACTCTTTAAAAGCTGTCCATTTCAATGAAGCGTGGCACTCGTATCAGAAAGCTTGGAGGAGAATGAATATCCGAAAACATATTTGTGCCTGGCCTTTCGACGACGAGTTCTTGTTTGCGATTCGCGATTTAGTCGTTCTAAAACGAGGGCTTGTGGTTATTTTCGAGCCCTTTTTCGCTGTTGTCTCGAGGTGGGATCTGTTCTTTGAAGCCTGGTGGGTTCGGTCGTATTCGTTTCGATGCCCGAATATAGAAATGTGACCATCAACGACAATACAAAGTAAGTCACTCCTACAATGCCTGCAGATATATTTCGTCTAGACTTAGGATTGCAAGTCTAGGCTGCTTTAGATATGCTCATTGCAATTGTGTCAACGTAATTGACCTGCAATTGTGGACGGAACGCGCGTGACACTTCGTATCCAGTTTGCTACCAATAAGTATAATCCGGTGCCTTCATCAGCATCATTTTCTGACACTGCATGACGCCTAGCCAAGAGGCCTTTTGGAACGGTATTAGTGCTTATCGAGCTTGCCCTCCGCCATCGCATGCGAACCCTGATCGGGTCCCAGATACGAATGCGAGCCTTGACCAAGCAACCTCCTCATATAACGGATGGTACAATATTCCACGGGTTGCACAAAAAAGAAGAAAGATCGTCTTAGTGCTTGGATAGCGACTATTGCGACTGCTTTTGCAGCAGCCACTAGATATGTGTAGATCATTGCGTTGTTGGGGCACTTCCTCAGTGCAGGGCCGGCTTCATGATTTGCCATCAATACTATCTGCCATTATTAGGCATCAGTGAATAGACTCAATACTTATGAGAGTCAGTCCCTAGAGCATCTGCGATGACCAAAGCGAGTTCTATTTTTATTCTACCTCCTCTGACCAAGCTAATTGCATTAAAGACAGGGCATCACTGACCATCGCATTGAGGACCACCTACTCTATCAGATCCGCCTCTCGCATTAGTCAAAATGAACCTCGCATTTGAGAACCATCCTAAGATCAAGCTGCGGCTCCATGTCACCATTGGCGCGTTACTTTTCCTGAACTTCGTCCTCATCATTGCACGCATAGCGAATAAGGGTACGCCCAAGACCAGGTCAAACACCTGGGGTATTGCCGTCGTGAATATACCCGTTTTTCTTCTGTAGCTTGATCGAGATTAGGGACAGCTAGTTGCAGATCAATGACTGACCCAGACGTCGAGCTCTCTAGTGTCTCAAGGCCGCCATCTTCCTGGCTTACCAAGTTCTCACAGCTCATGCAGAACGGTTCAAGCGATGGGCAAGCGCGAAGGCGTACATGATCCTTAACTTTATTGACACCATTTGCTCTCTTCATCATCACCATTATGGGAACGAATGGCGCACACAGCACGAGCAGCCGTGCGCTTGGTGGCGTTGTCGCCACAACAAGTATCATTTTGTGGTACGTGAGTCTCTATCCGAGACGTGTCGTGATCATCAACGCTTAATAGAGGCGTATTTTCAAGTAGAAGCGCTGATTATTGACCTGTCACAGTGGAATCGTTGGCTTCCTTACTTTCATCTGCATTCGCGGTTGGCGATACTTCAAACAATATGGCGCCCTCCCAGGCACGTCAAAAGGACCAAATTGACGATCTGATCGATCATGATGCCAACAGCACCTCTGCCTATGATGCTTCTCAGATTGAGAATGATCTTGGCTGCTGCAAATGAGATATGAGGATGACCCGTTTTGCATTTGAAAGGGTTCCATGTGTTTTGGTCTTTTAAGTTCGGTGAAGGTTGGGTTTGAGTCTCACGGAGGAGACACATGTATGTATGTATACAGATGAAATTCGCCTGCGGTATAGATTAAAAATTCCCAATGCCTTCTCTGTTATCGCTGCCACGCAGGAACTCTTGTCCCTGGGAAAAGAAGTTCGTGGCCAAGATTGATAGCTCATCGTTGAAGAAATCCGAATGGCGCGGAGAGATTGTTGAGCCCATGGCATAGTGGGATCCAACAGGCAGAGCTGATTGAAAGCCATATTCAGACATTCGTGACCCTGGATGTGATTGTTCGGAGTGTGAATTCAGGCGAGTGGGTTCGGGTAGAGGAGATGTCTGCGATACTTCCATGTCCATGGTAGGGGGTTCACAGTATAACGAGTCGCCGAACAAGCGACGAGCAGAGTCCATATCCCTGTTAAACGAGTATTCAAGGATTTCCCAGAAGCGTGACAGGTCTATCAGTAGGCTCTTATTCTGGGCCCGCGGCTCAGGTTGATAAGAGGCTGAAACAGCGCCTTCTAATCGTTGTAATTTATCCGCCTGTATGATTAATAGCATGGTTAGTCAACTCATGTCTTGTAGAATGAGTGAGAATCGCTGACCAGTTGCGCCATGTGGGGCCACCTTTGCCCAATGTTTTCCACAAACTTGACACATCTATAGAAGCGATCGCGCTTCTCTTGTCGGATGGTTTTATCTTCAGTAAAACTTAACTGTAGTTCGATAGTAGCCACTACGGCGGCGCTGTACCCTAGTAGTGGATCTGACACGATGAAGTTTTTCTCTTCAAAGTAGTTTATGAAATGAATGATCCAGGTGGTATGTGAAGAAATAAGGTCCGAAGTGTGTTGCAAGAATATCTCGGGAATAGAGTTCCGGAAATTCCTGAGGCCAAGAGACAGCAGAAGCGGATGATTGAGGAGACAGAGATTTGTATGATAGAGAAATTGGTTCAGGAACCATGGACCCCAGTATCCTCGGTTGGCTTGGAGCTCCTCAGTCGTCCTCTCGCTGAGATTAGCCGGTTTGAATCGATGGACGTAAGGCATGCGTGTTTCCAGGTCCATTTGCAGCGTGATGATTTTGGAGTACTCTGACTGTGAGGACCACGGTGGGACACTGCTCGGCCGGCCATGGCGACGAACATATCTCGTAGTCTTGGCGAAGACCTCGCTTAGAATGATCACATACGCAATGATCCCCTGGTCTTCCATACCAGTAGACCGAGCCTCATCAGTTGCATTGCTCGGCGAAAAGGGCGGGCGAGGGCGCTCAGGGCTTTCGGGGAATGGGGGAAAACTCCCATCAGGGAACCCCATGCTGTCAAATTCAACGCCATGAAAGCGCTTCAAAAGGCAGATGCTCCAAAAGCAGCGTCGCCGCTCTTCGCGGGCCACTGCGGACCATGTAGCGTGTGTTTCGGAGCCCAGATTGGCGCATTGAGCCAAGTTCATCGCAAGACTACTGTGAATACTCGACCGATGTGTGTTGCCGTCTGAACGGGGTTAGACTCGAATGCCGTTCACTCAAGAACTAGACTTACTGGTAAAGTCGATCAAACTCAGAAGGCAGAGACATTGTAGGGTAGATAATTCAACCGGACCCTCTGAAACTCTCCTCATGACCAGTCCTCTGGCTACCTCTGTGTAGCCGCTTACAAGAGTTGCGAGATCATTCAAACCCTGACAGCCTTCGTCAGAGAATCGTATGCTCAATGCGAGTATAGCGTAGAGAATTTCAGGATCGCGAGTGCTGAGGCTGTTAAGGAAACTGTCTCTGTGAAACAGAGGAAGGGGCTGGGACTCGCAATATAGCAGATACAATTCTGCCACAGCGAGCACTTTCTCCCACGTCGGAAGTGGAGTAATGGCGCTGATCACCGATGAGGTGATAGGGCCGCTCATAGTATTTGGCCGAAGAGACGATGCGGTTGTCCTCTGCTGTTCAGTTCTAGAGCTATTTCGTCTAACTGGAATTATCAGTCACTGATCGAATCTCAGACAAGTGTAGGACTCGCAGTACTCTAGAGCATCAAGAACTTCACCCATCTTCGCCTCCAGGTTGCCGAGACGATCCTCCTGAGAAACAGTCAACGGAAAAGAACAAGGCGGATTCCCCATGAATTGCAGAGAAGCAAGCTCACCAATGTTCGAGAAATTCGCACTTCAGGAGCATCAGCAGCAGTAAAAGCAGCGACGGAGGCTGATTCATCTGGGGTGGTATGCGGCAGCGACCTGCGCCTTTCTCCAGCGTATGCGCATCTCTGGCGCAATCGCGCGCAGAGCGAGCAGACCGGCTGCTCACCTGGACATTTTGCCTTTTTGCGCCTATGGAATAGTGAGCCAGCATATCCAGTCTCGAAGAAATATGGTCTGGTCTACCTGCAAGGTTCGCATGCTTGCCGTACGCGTTTGCTAGGTCGCTCAAGAGATGTTTGGTTCGTCTCAGAATCAACCATGGGTTAGAAATGCAAAGTTGACCGGATGTACGTTGTCTTCACTGTGTCAATAGACAGACCATTCTCGAAATCTGGTATGAGTTGCCTACGAAAGCGCTCTGTGGCATTTTCTCGCACATAAGTGAGACTTTTTCAATTATCTGTGTATATCTGTATCTTGCGTCGCATGTCCCTGTTTGTGGTCAATCCCTATTTGATCATAGAGAGTCAAGGCATTGTTAATGTTCGGAGTGTGGAGAGTTGTATCCCATATCCGCTCGATAATATCTCGGAATAGTTAATTGGGACGGGTCAGTTGATTACTAATCCAACCTTGACGATTTCACGGGAACGAGTATAATGGCTGGGAGATATTGAGATGACGGCTAAATCATTGGGGGCTACAAAGTTGGGGTCTCACATTTACTACCTAGTAAGCGTACAATACGTGAAAGGCATTTGGCAGAAAGATACCTCGGATCATGAAAGACAAGAATGGCGCATCTGCTCGAAGGACTTCGTTCTATGAGATTGAAGAAGCGATATCTGAAGGCATTCCGTACATAAGACTGTCCTGGCATAGCTCAAGCATAATAATTCGACGAATCATTTGAACAGACTGACGAACTCTTTCATTGATCCCCTAGCTGATCTTATATACAACGTCGTGATATCTCATCTCAACCCACCCGTCTGTCGAAATAGAAATACACCGCCAATGGGATCCAAGGGACGCTATTCCATGTGTTTGGTCGGAAATCAGCGAAGTTTTATCTAGTTCTTGCCGAACCAGGTCTTGTGGCCCTATTTGAAAAGTCAGTCCACAAACGCGCACAAGCCGCCAGCATAATCGGCTCTAGAGGCATTGCAACGGGCGAGGGATACTAACAAAGACCATACGGCACATGGCATAGGTGGAGGCTAAAGTGAGTTAGCTTGAACAACTTCCTCAAAGCGCGACAGAACTCACCGATGCCCAAACCATAAACGGAGATGAGGTAGGGGTACATGATGTACTTGCTACGATCGGTCTTCAAGGAAGAAAGTACCAGTCAGAGAAACACAGTCATTCCAAGGTGTATATGCCAACCCGCGGATCAACTGACCTTCCACCACTGACGCTTGCCGTCGTGCCGCTGGAAGAGACGCTGGTAGTAAGGGACACGGTTCTCGCGGAACACGAATCTAGAAATTCCAAGCGAAAGAGTCAGTAAGATCATGAGCGCAATTGAGTATCCTCCAGGAGAAAGATGGCAGATTGCCAACAGAAATTGGGCGGTCATAGGCGATCATCCCACCAGAGTCATGATGATGCCAGCAGTGGTTCGGGAATTGAATCAGGAAGAACGTACCCAGCCATGCGGGGAACAGTGCGAAACATCTTGACGGTATGTAGATGCTATATCGCAGCTTCTAAATGAGGTAGACAAGTTTGATGGGAGAAGGAAGACCGGCAACAATGGTCAGTCGATGTCGTGAATTGTGGATCCGAATTGGAGCTGCAAGTCAGGCCTCAGGTGACTTTCCTCGTTCTTCCGCCAATTCGGATTAGTAACAATCACATGACTTATATTCATCTTTATCACGATATCTGTCGCTCTCAAGTTTGAGAGCTCTATGCGAAACGATTGGGGCCATTCAATTATTCATCGCTTCGTTCTCAATGGTCTTCGTCTCCCGATTATTGGATTGCCAATGAGGAAGATGCTCAGAGGCTGCTCTGTCACCTTAACTTCCCACTCTCAGGACTCATGCGCCCGGCTCTCCTTCGATTATTGAAGAGACCGTCCGCCGTTTCGGTTCTCGACTCTCTAATATCGACGTCCACCGGAATCGAGCAACTGGAGTCCAAATATAAATGTTTACGATGCAGCTCGCGGAAGGCACACCAAAATGCGGGCGTTCGGCGATGCGAGGTCGAGCAACCCGGCAGCAACGAATCTCCTACGCGTCTTAATCCATCATCGACCTCACGCCCATTCAGCTTCCAAGTGTATGAAATACAGTCGCCTCAGAATACAAGACAAGGCTGTACAATACCACAAGATAATGCTCTCAGATCTTCAGTCGCTGAAAAAGACACCTCTTTGCCCTTGGATCTACAGCCTGACAAGTTATCCTTCGAATCGGATATCGGCCACACCCAGGACATCGGTACTCGCCTTGTTGACGATCCTTCCCACCGACAGAGGTTGGATCTCTGGGAGCAGCTGCTTCGCTATCGGCAGCGACACTATGGAGACCGAGGAACACTGGATATCTGGGTGGCTCTGACGGACCGAGTGGATGGTGTCGATCTCCCCGTAGTCGGGGAACAAGCCGATCTCTTCTGGCACAGTTTCATTGACCTGGGACTCAAGCGGGAAGTCATCATGGGGGAGGTGTTGGCCTATGCACTGGAGCTTTGGAAGAGGACTGGAAGCCGATGGGACAAATTTTACGAAGTGGTCGTTGGTGGATACCTCGAACGAGGTATGACGCAGCATGCTATTCGATGGCATAAGAAACTTCAGCATCCCCATCTATCCTGTCCAAATAATATAATGAGGATCTTTGAACCAGCCCTTACTATGTCCAATGAATCGACGAAAATTGTCCTAGCAACGACGGCCACACGACGCTCTGTGTCTCCTGGCATTAGCGCTTTCAAGAACATATGCCGGCTCACGGAAGGTCACCAGATATATGGCTGTGCCATCTCACGGCTGTTGCAAATGGGTCGTGTTGAGGATGCACTTTCGTTGCATTCGTTTTTGGTTGAGAGGCATGACCATCCGCAAACCTACGAGGAGATCCGACCTCTGCTCCGATGTGCGAAGGAGCTCAAGCCGAGAAAGTTCTACGAGAAACTCCAGGCTTACAGCAAGGATCGCTTCCCCGACCGAGCGGCGTCGGCCGAGGAAAGTGGCCCGGCTAAAGAAGACGATACACGAGAGTCCAGCGGAAAAGCCTGGCTTCAAGAAAAGCCTTTCAAGGATGAACTGGGCGCACGGCTCTTCGCCACCAAAGCCCTTACTCTCGAGACAACCATCGCGGGATTACGAATGTTCGGTGTACAAGCTATTGGGCCGCAGTCTTTGCGAGAAATGGCTATTCGGGCTCAAGGGAGCCAGGACCTTGTAGCTCGATTGCGAGAACTTCAGAGAGCGGGCATCTCTATTGGCGATTCAGTTTTCGCACGACTAATCCGTAGACTTGCCTCGGAAAATCGCGACATACTTCTATCGGACTTACTCCACAGCGATCAGCATCCCGACGTACTGGAAGATGCTGGTATGCAAGAGTCGCTGTTGATATCGTACTATATCGCTCGCGACTGGCGTCCATATAACATGACGCTTGCCATACTTGGAGAAATATTTGACGACAGGTCTAAACTGTTCAATATCCACTTTCGCAAGTTCATCGCCTCGGGAGAATGGGCATCTGCGTCCAAGGTGGTGGATGAAATGACACTAAGCGGTCAGAAACTTGCCCAAGAAAGCGTGGACTTTATGGTCAAGCATACTCTCACTCCGCGTCGACCAGGAGTCGGGCCGGTCCAAGGGACAGATCTCTCATCCAACAATGAAGTCTCTTTTGTTTTCCGTGTTTTGCAGCGCGCCGTTCCCATGGGCACATCCGTGTCTCCTGGTCTCTGGATTGAGATGTTGAAACGACTCGGGATGACCAATCACTGGGATGAGCTTCGCGGATGCTGTCTTTGGCTTGCTCGCCAATATTCTGGTGCCCCAAAACCGAGCGATGCAGCTTCTCTCATCATAACTTCGACAGAGGGGTCAAGGCGTGAAGCTGGCGGTGTACCTCTGGGTGATGGCGACCGAATGTTGCAAGCTGTCTTTAGCAAAAACATGCAGGCTGCTATTGTCGCGTGGGGATTCAAAATGCGAGTATCCCCAAATCCCAATCATAAAGGTTATCGTGCCCTAGGACTTGAAAACCTTGTACCCTGGGTACGAGGTTTAGTACTTCTACGCGAACTGGAGCACAACGGTATCCGTCTTTGGCGCAGCTGGATTCGTCGGGCCTGCCGACATCGCTTGGCTGTTCTTTACGGCCACTCAAGGCATTCCAGCCGACACATGAATCGTATGTTACGACGGGAGAATTTTTATTCTGCAGAGCGTGTAATCGCAGACATCGACCGTGTGTGGGGGGATCCACCCCTTTTTAATGGTCAGAGAGACGACGATTTGTCCCAGCTGGTCAATCCTCCAAGTTCGAACATGTCCCAGCGAAGGACCGGACGAACGCTATGGAGAGAAGCTCGCTTGAAAGGAGCAGCATTCGTCAAGACCAAATGAACTGCTGTATATTAAGGACCACTATGTATATACAACTTTATATCATTAGTTTCCCCCAATGCTGGAGGCCCACAGACCATCAGGAATCAGGAATATGTCTGTGTGTCCAGAACTCCAAATCACTGCGTAGACAACTGCAGATGCCAAGTCCCAGTCCAACACGTGACTGGAACCCAGGCAACGTCGATAAACACGCAAAACATTCAAACATGGTTTCGCTGAGCCACGGAAATGGCGTGTCCTCCCTCAGCTCCTTCATCTTAGGTGTATATCTCGTTCTAAGAATAGTCCCAGGGGCAACGCGGCCCAGATTCACCGTCGAATTGTCAATAATTTCTGACTTTCTCTCTGGGACAGTGGCCCACCAGGACTGTCAGATCGCCCCCAATCTTCTCTGACGTTCAATCTTAAGTGGAGATCACAACGCAATCACTGTGATGCCGAGCTGACAACCAGAGGCCGTTAGTGGATAGCGAGTTGAGTTGATGCTTTTCCTAGACCTTGTGGATAACATCAAGTGCCTGGCGCAGATTATATTCAATAGTCAATAAACAGTCATTTTAGATCTGGATTTCACCTCCATTCTTGATTCCATCATCCCCCCTTTCCATTCCGACCTGAAACAAGTTTCCTGAGCTTTTTCATACTGGAGAGAATATCTGCGTTCCGCAGATCTGCATACCAAAGATCTGTTCCCTCCCCAGTGTTTGCATATTCGCATCTAGATAACAGTATCGTGTGCTTGATCACAAGTTACAGGAGGGGCGACCAGTATGCTAGGACAATTAGGACTCGGTGTCCTAGCACTTCTCCCTTTGACATCCGCAACGGCGCTGCTTCCTCGGGAAACAGCATGCAATAACTCTCCAAGTCTCTGCTCAAAGTCCTATGGAGAAATTACACATTTGGGGGCGCACGATAGTCCGTTCGTACGAGATGCATCGACCGGCTATTCGACCGCAGCGAACCAGTAAGTTGGATTCACAAACCTTGTACGGCAGCGGCCAGACGTTTGCTAATTCTAAATTATAGATACTACAACACCACTTTACAGCTAGACGCTGGTGTTCGCATGGTAACGGCGCAAGTCCATTCACAAGACTCGGAGTGGCACCTGTGCCATTCGAGTTGTGAGCTGCTGGACGCGGGGAAATTGAGCACATGGTTAAAAGAGATCAAGAGCTGGTTAGACTCGAATCCAAATGATGGTGCGTGCCTATATTTGACTCGGGGATGCATGGCTGGCTGAACGTTGACCTCTCTCTTTCCAGTCGTGACGGTTTTGCTCGTCAACTCTGATAGCGCCTCTGCCTCCGATCTGAATTCCGAATTCGAAACTGCAGGAATAGTCGACTACGCATATAAACCCTCCTCCTCATCCGCACCGAGCTCGTGGCCTACCTTGCAGACTTTGATCAATAACGGGACTCGGTTGATGGTCTTTGTGGCGTCGTTGGACTCCAACACAGATGCCCCTTACCTTATGGACGAGTTCTCTTTAATATGGGAGTCACCATATCAAGTGACATCGCCGTCGAACTTCTCCTGCAATCCCGACCGGCCGACCAGCGTTAAGAATGATCTTTCCGCTGCGCTCTCATCCAACCGCCTGCCCTTGATGAACCACTTCCTGTATGCCACAACCATCCTGAATATTGAGTATCCCAACTCCACCTACGTGTCGACCACAAACGCCCCCTCCGGCGGAGTGGGGAATCTAGGAGACACCGCGACGAAGTGCCGAAGCGCCTACGGCCGTCAGCCAGCCTTTATCTTGGTGGATTTCTTTGACAAGGGCCCAGCCATCGATACTGTGGATAATCTGAATAACGTCACCTCGCCTGTTGGGCGCACCAACCTCACAACAAGCTCGAGCACGACCGCGACCACACAAACGAGCTCTGCCTCGACCTACTCGAACGTCTTCAAGGGTTTGGTTGAGCTAGTACAGCAGGCAAAGTCGGGCGCGAATCCCGGTATGGGCGACTGGGTTTGGGTTGGGGGAGACTGGGGAAGTTTGCTCGGCGGCGGTATAACACTGTAGCCACAACATCATATTCTGCCGCTCATCCATTACTTCCAATCTTGCGGTATCCTTGAACCAGTTGTGTTTCTGTGTCGTGCATGGTCGGCGTTTGGGAGTTGGGAATCATGCAGCCCGGATATCTGGATCTTGATTGTTATATCTATAGGCGATTTTCAAGGTGGATAGTATTCCTAGACCAATATAGAATTAACTGCGTATCCTAGAACCTCCAACGCCTTCGCAATGCCAGATGATCGTACACACTTCACATTACCAGCACTCAATGACGTTCACTGATCCTGTGCCAACAATTGCCGCACCTTATTCACTTTATCCTCGAACGATTGCTCCTTATCAGTTCTGGAACGGAAAGGCAAGTCAGCGAGCGCCAAAACCAAGTCACGAAGTAGGAAAAGCAAAGTACAAACCTCGATCCAACCCGGATATCAGTCTGAATTCGAACGATACCCTGTTGGTGTAATAGCATGTGCGCCTGGCCAATGACCTGGTGGACCTTATCCCAGGGACCTTCTATTTCATGCACGGGTATCAGCGATCGCACCGGTTGACCAGCTTCAAGATGACTGCAGAATTCCAGGACGTACCAAGTGTGGTACCGGCCGAGTGCATCACGTACTTGAGGCCGGACTTCTCGATTAGGCGCTGGACGTCTGCGATTTGGGAGGATACGGAGGGAGAGGAGGTCCCGATCTATGATTTGCGAGTTCAAGGTCAGTATATGTATGCATGCGCTGGCCGTCTTGGGAGCCAGGACGGATAGATGGGTTATTGAGTGGTTTGGGTTGACGGATGACGCACCGGGATCAAGCAGAAGTCTGCCGTGCAGTGAGGGGGGGTCGGGATGGATGCGATGTCCGCGGATGCCATGATTTTGGTAAATCGAGCGGGTTGTACGCGTAGTTCAGTCGTGAGTGATATTTCAATGTTGAGATTGTGACTCGAGGCGATGGAACTTGACTGGGGTGGATCTTGAAGTCGAGAAGCTTGTCTCGGATACTCACTCAAGTTCAAGAACGCGGGGTACAAGAAGAACAACAGCAGCGGGGCAGTATGTATCGCGACTGTTCAAAACTTCAATCTGCTATTATTGCAGCCCAACTTGCTACGCTTGTGCTCGAGTTTACGCAGTTAGTCCCTTCCAATGACGATATCTATTTCCAATATTGCTACTATACATGATGCTGCAGCTTCTGCTGTCTTGAGCCATTTTCCAGCGCCGCTACCCACATACGCCGCAGATGATATTGCTTGATTCCTGCTATTGACAGACTGCCATGTAGCTGTACACTATCTCAGACTGTACATCTCCATTTTCCAGGCGATATCATCGATTCAGCCAAGATGTGACAGATCTCGAATGCTCTGCTGTACCGAACAACTCGACAGATGGACCCGTCGGCTAGTAGGTTGAGACGTCAGTCATCGATTATCGGTAGCCTTACTGCCTTTGCTTTTTCTTTACTTTCCCCGGATTTACTGAATTGCCCCAGTTGTTCCTCGTGCCGGTGGCTTTGTCAATCCGACGGACAGTGAGGCGGTTATTCTGCTTCATTTCTTTCAGCATAGTCCAAGAAAGAGGAGTCCCAGGCGGATGAGACTAGGATTACGCGAAGGGAAAAGGAACGTCTCGGCAAATCCCTTCAATTTGCGTCATCTTTTCAAGATGACTTGATTGAAAGTTTGGGGGGTATAGAGGTACCCTATCCTATGATTATTGCCGCGATTTGTTGTTCATCTTCTCTTTTCTGCCTTCTATTTGTTCGCTAGTGAGGCCCATTCCATGGTACACAGGCCGACCCAGCAGACCACTTTGAAACTGCATCGTGACCCCCTTGTCGGTCTGAGCGTTCGTCCCATGCGGTTTTCCTTTTCAGTTTTCATATTACTCGCATGATCCTACTTGCCAGTCCTGTTAAGCCATCGCATCGACTGACCACACATCGCTCTTCATTCAGCGTGGTTGAAGGTAATCTGAGCGGATTACAAGGCCTCTGATGCCTCGTTGACCGCCTATTCGTTAGAGCCGTGCACCGTTGTCGATTGTTGAGTAACAGCTGTCGGCGTGCCCGACGCCCTATGATTGAGCATCTGAACTGCTGAACGGCTTATTATATTGTTTGAACCGTGTTTTGGTCTTTGTTGTCTCTCTTCTCGTCTCAAACATTATCTGAAAAACTCGCAACTCTCCCCAGCACCACTCCACTGTCGGATGCACTCAAGCTACCTTTATTGACTTATTGAGCCGATCTTCAAATCGTTTGACACTACTCCGGCCGCCAGCACTCTGATTGGCGTGCAACCTGCCTAAGACTCCCAGGGTCAAACGCCACAGGCACCACGAAGTTGGCAGCTCTGCATCGGCTATCAACCAGGCACAGACTCCTTGATCTAATCCCACTCGAACTATACGATATCGGGTCGGGATTGGGGTTCTTTTTGGTGGATATCTCCCTGTGACACTGTTGACTACACACTTCCACCGGTGTAAAGGGTAGAACAGCAGACTCAGGCTGTCATAGATACGTCAAGAGCCTGTTTGCTTTGCCCTACCTTGCTGTTTCTCAGGGATCATAGCGTTCAATCAGTGCCAGCGAAAGAAGTAAATTGAGACAAATACCAAACAACTTTGATTCTTCTCGATTCCGGTTCGGCAATGCTGCAGCTTTGACGTCCTATCATCACTTTGAAGGCTGCACTACTCGTTTCAGACTCACATGCTTGAGTTGTTTGAGTATTTTAACCATTGCTAAGAGTGTTCCAAGAGGAAGATTCACTCCCGATACTCGAACAATACTTTGAGGTTTCCTTCAGAACTATTGGTCTTCCAAAAACCAATTCTCGTCAGGAGACAATGATTCTTCTACGGAGAGGCAGTAACATACATCGACTGGCAACTTGACGGATGACGAAACCCGCTTTGCTGGAGCTCCCCGCTGGAGCTCAGCTCATATACCTCGCTGAGGGTGGTGCCAATATCGTTTATCGTATTGTCTCAGTTCCCCCGCCCTGCCACATCGGCCCCACGGACACTCACAGCGCTTCTGGACATCATTTCATTGTTCCTCCAGAATTCAAGGGGAGATTGCTTCGACTTCGAAAGGAAACAAAGACAGGAATTTCATACCAGGAGATTGCACGTAATTTCGATAGAGCTATCCGCCCTTTGTTCAGTCCTAACGAATTGGTGGACCAGGAGATTGTTTGCCTTCCGAGTGGACTTGTGCAGCGTTGCAATGAGCAATTACGCGCGGCGGAGCGCAATGGCGAACGTCCCAAGAAGCGTCAAGGCGTATATCTTTCCGTCACAGAACCTTGCGGGCTTCTGGTTACGGATATGACAACTTTTTGTGCTCCAGATACCGTGCTTGCGGAATTGAAACCCAAATGGCTCCTGCAGTCACCATCAGCGCCACTTAATGCTCGAAGATGTCGCACGTGCGCGTTGCGGGACATGAAGAATCACCAGACTCGGAGAGCAGGTGGGTCTGAAGAGCTCTCGTTTTGTCCGTTGGACCTGGTTTCCGACAAGTTCGAGAATGTCCTGCGCGCAGCCAAGTATGTCAAGGGCTGTGAGGACCAGGCCAGGCTGGCAAGGATCCTCTATCGCAACCCTACATTGCAGAAACTCGTGACGCATCAGAAGGCTATGCGTGATGTGGGGCTACATGGGCCATCGGCGCAGTCTCGAGAGAAGTCTCTTGCGATGACCTTGCGAGACTGCACGATGTTTATTAAGGTAGGCCAGTTCGAATTCGTCCATGCCTGAGACAATAGACTAACGATATTAGATTCCGCGTGACGAGATGGGACCAGTGGAAATCCGCCTCGGCGACTTGGATCTTAAGACTGGAGCTGGTGGCAAGGCACAATACTGGCTCAGTTTGGAAAGCCAGTTGATCGCTGAAGGCTGGTATCTGGGCAACAATAGTGGCTTGCCCCCAAGTGAGTGCATGCTGCAGCGTTCTTGACCGTAATGTCATGCATATAGACCTTGCAGTCCTCTCGCTACCCCCGCTTCTCCATTCAACTACGAGCCTCGAAGTTTTAGCAGGGCGCTATGCTGTAACAGAATAGTCAACTCCTCGAATAAATAGATGTGACGAAAATCTCGGATATATTCCGCTTTTTATTTTCATTTATCCTATCATCATCGAATCCTGGCGACACCTCTCGAATCAGCATATCGTGAATATATGCCATGGCTTTCGGACCTTGTTATGGGCGGCTTTCTGTGGTTTTGCGTTTAATGTAAAATAGAATACATTTAAGATACCGAGTTTGCTTCTTATGACACATGATGTATCTAACGTCTTGTGCTTCTATCTTGACAATGCCCTGACTAGTCCGTATTCAGTTAAGCTCGAGTCCAAGCATATGATGTCATCCTCTCCGGCGGGAGAGGGACTTGACTACGTATTGCATCAAATACCTCTACAATGGAAGCCATTTTGTCCATGAGGAATTGTCTCAAGTGTCAAAGTACAGATTCGACATCAATCAGGCTCATCACAATCGCTTAACCCAAGAACATTGCCACGTTGCGGAACCTATCTACGCCGTCAGAGCTTGCCTATAGTGCTGTATGCAAACCAAAGATCATATACAAGCTTCTGCAGATGCAACGAAAGCCTCTTTTCATAGCAGAATCATAGAAATCTAGATCCACAGACAGATATATTTGTTTTATTTTCCAGGTCTGTTGAACAATCAGATGAACATCATTAGTAAGCCATTATTCCGTAATTCCGTGCTTAGATATGATGACTACAGATTATCTCAACATTATCCCACGTGGTGTTGATCCTTTCTATAACACACTATTGATAGACATATAACTGCCTCTCGACTGCGCGGAGTTATCACTGAGCCAGCCCACCTTATCCACAGCACAAGTAGAAATATAGATACAAGATCATGGCATCCCCGCGACTCCTCCCTCGTTTCCCTTTATCTTCATTCCTTCGTGTCCCCATCAAAACCAGCAGAGCAACCCTCATCCCATCCACGCTATCCAGAGTACATAGATCCTTCAGTTCCTCCCAGACCAAAGCGACAGCACCCAAGATGTCCAACACGGACGCACTCATCGAGCTAGCCAAAGCCCGCCGCACAATCTACAAACTCGGCAAGAACAGCCCCGTTCCCGACTCCAAGATCGAAGAGCTCGTCAACGCAGCCATCCTGCACGTCCCCAGCTCCTTCAACACGCAGTCCACGCGGCTCGTGGTGCTCCTGCATGCCGAGCACGAGCGCCTCTGGGACATCGTCATCGATACCTTCATGCAGCTCGTACAGAGCGGCGCCGTGCCCGAGGCGACGTGGAAGAATCAGACGCTGCCTAAGCTGCAGGGCATGAAGAATGGTGTTGGGACGGTATGTCTCCACCCGTTAGGAATCACTTTAAAAAGACTATAAAGCTAATCACCGCCATAGATCCTCTTCTACGAGACCCAGCACACATCAAGCCCTTCTCCGAGAAATTCGCAACCTACAAGGACCACTTCCAGCCCTGGGCGGAGCACTCGAATGCCATGCATCAGTACTTCCGTGCGCTTCCCTCCCCTTCCCTTCCCTTCCCTTCCCCATCAACTGCGCTTGCGCATACTAACATCCAGGAACAGTCTGGACAGCCCTCGAGTCCCTCGGTTTCGGCGCAAACCTCCAACACTACAATCCCCTCATCGACGCCCCCGTCGCCAAACAATGGGACGTCCCCTCAGACTGGCGCCTCATCGCGCAACTCGTCTTCGGTAGCCGGGAGGGCGAAGCAGGCGAGAAGGTCCAGAAGCCGATCGAAGAGAGGGTTAAGATCTTCGGCAAACTATAAGTGACCTCGCCCTCGAAGCTACTACACCAGACATGATCTTATTACCAAGTGTCTCAGAGGATGATAGACATGACTTATTTTCTCTTATCTGTTGCCCAATTCCAAGTCTGGGCTCACGTGGCGTGTTTCCTCACAAGAGGACTTTCACAAGAACAGTTTCCTCCCAAAACAGCCTTCATGATCTAATATTTTCAATTTGAGTCGATTCACATAGACGTGCATAGATGAACCAATTCATGTGATAAGCTAATCATAATATAACACATAAAATAGTCTTTATAGTGCATATCATGACACAGTGGATGCTTCTAATTAGTAAGTTGGAATTCTCCACCGCGGCCTCCAGTTGTCACTTTCATGGTTAGGTTCTAGGTTGTGTTGTTTCCGTCCCGCAATGCGCTCTCCTTCCCCATACCTCACAACCTGATTCAGCCTGCCTTATCTGATTTTGAGCTGCGGAAGGCTGAGTTGGATTTAAATGGTGTCTATCTTGAGAGCTTTAACCAATAACATTCGGCGAACACGACCGTCTCCTAGAGAATGCTCTAGCATTGCGCATATTCTCCCTACGGGAACCCCGATCGAGGAAGAGACCTTACCACATTACAAACCAGCGCATTATTATCCGGTAAAAATCGGCGATGTGTATCACACCAGATACGAAGTTGCGGGAAAGCTTGGGTATGGGGCATATTCAACGAGTTGGCTATGCCGGGACCTCCAGTGCGCCACTCCCAGTCCAATCGATCCTAGAAGAGCTCTGACGAGTTATGAATCAAGAGTCAATAACTACACAGTATTGAAGGTGTCCACCTCTTTGCCAGATTATCCTACTGCGACAGATCGCGAATTGAGAGTCTATGAACACCTGGCAAAAGTTGATTCTTCGCATCCGGGTCAGTCATTGATCCGCGAGCTGTATGATTCATTCGACCTCCAGGGTCCTGGCGGCACACATCGGTGCCTTGTGCTGCAGCCGATGAATTTGACTCTTCTCGAAATGATGAGAATGAATCCCAGGCCCTTTGATCTACCTCTGCTCAAAATGACCGTCAGGCGACTTCTATTGGCGCTTGATTTCTTGCACGCTGAGGCCGAGGTTATCCATACTGGTAGAGACCTACGCTCTGCGAACGTTGGATTTTGAACTAATGTCCACTAGATCTAAAGACCGACAATCTGATGCTCAGCCTAGAGGATAGCTCCATGCTGGCAGATTTTGCAACAGCGGAATCCAAAAACCCAAGCCCCCGGAAGTTAATTGACCAGTCACGTATTATTTATAGCAGTCGAAAATTTCGCAGGCCCACAGGAGGCAGAAACTACGGTCTCCCAGTCCTATGCGACTTTGGTGAGGCAAGGATTGGCAAAACGCAGGAGTCAGGACCTTTCGTCCAACCACATATATACAGAGCGCCAGAGGTTATTTTTGAAATGCCTTGGGGAAGCGCTATTGATATCTGGAACCTTGCAGGCCTCGTGAGTCAGGTGCTACTGGAGTTTCTTGTTGCTGCACTGCCTTGCTGATGGTCGATTAGATTTGGGACCTGTTCGAAGGGCAGCATCTGTTTGGAGATGTCTTTGATTCCAGAGGCGGCCATGATCCGTTTAAGCATCTGGCCCTCATGGTAGCCTTGATTGGAACACCGCCGACCGAATTCGTGGGGCGTAGTGAGACGACGGAGCAGTGCTTTGACTTGAGTGGTTGGTACCTGCTTCCCATTGCACATCCTTTCCTATTGACTCCGAGGCTGACATAGTTGCAGGTGGCTGGATTGCTCACCATGAAGCGGCTATACCCTCTGTTTCACTTGAGGCCCTGGAAAACCGGCTTAGTGGCGAGGAGAAAGAGCTATTTTTGGCATTCATTATGTCGATGTTGAAATGGATGCCAGAGGAACGCAAGACAGCCAAACAGCTGCTTGAACATCCGTTCTTGCTCTAGCCGCCAGCTACTTTTTTGTAACTACCGGCGACGGATCCACTTTGAGATAGTCCGATAACTTCCACTCTTCTCGCTCAAAACTCCAAAAGGTGATCTTATCTCCGGTAGGTCTGGGTCATCAGCATCGGGACCTACCACCCCAGCCCTTTGCTCTGGTCCCTCCCACCCTCTATCACTCTCCACCCTCCCCAAAATCTGTCAGGAGGTCCATGTTCTGTGTGCCACTCTACATGGTTGGTCGATTTGAGCTCCAGATGGACCTGAAATAGTCTAATCGGCTTTTCCAGTCCATCCACCTCCATCCTGGACAGTGCCTCGCCTAGTGAAACACCATGCTGCTTCTCTGTACTATAAGTAGCGTGGTGGCCGCATTTAATGTGACTTTCTGCTCACTTTTCCTTGGGCTACTGGCGACGAAAAATGATGCGCCAAAACAGAGACTGCCTTATAAACCCCTCCAGCCCTTGTGACATGGGTAAGCCGTTATCCTGCTTTTTTTATTTCCATTAATCCCCATTTCCATACTCTTTCGTGCTGGGCATTTTCGTTCAAAACAGCCAGTCCACATCCACCCTTTTCTTGCACCTAGCAATTCCTGTGATCTCATCTATACTTGCTCTGCCTGTTTTATTAAATATGTCATTGTTGACGCGGTTCGTTGGATTATTTCAGACCCACCCGATCTGCCAAAGTCGGCTGTCACCAGCGGAATCAGAACATGTCGTGGATGAGGTAATGCGACCATAGGTTCTTCTTTCACGTGGGCAGTAATCTCTCTAGGCTTATACCTGTTGCGTTCATCTTGCTACCCGTCTCAGTTCGCTAGATGATGGAGCAGTGGAATGAGCTTTCGCGTCGTTGTTCTGACCTCGGATTCAGTTTTGTGAGCATCCCGGCAGAAGCAGACTGTCTGAACAGCTACCCCATGGATAGGATTGATAGCGGAACTCATGGCAACTTATCCTTCAATAGATTATCTAAAACATCGGTAGCGCCGTCCTTTCCCAGATCTCCATGGAAATCTCAGTTTGAAAGGGTGGCAAGGCAGGTCCTGAATTTTCCAGAACGCCCACAAACAGAATTGCAACGTGGCAGTGATAGTCACAGTTCAAGCTACTTCAGAGAGCTTCTCTCACCTCCAGCACTGCCGGATGTCGATCTTCATTATGGGCAATCACGGATAGATCCATATGAAGACGACTTCACAGACCGCGCTCTGGATTGCCGAGATAATCATGAGGGTCGGGCCAGCCCATTGTCCTCTCCCCCTGTAGAGACTATCCTTCCTAGCTCTCAAGAGCTCCAACATGATCTAACGGGCTTCTATCAGAACAGCAACTTGAACGGTGTTGGCGCAGCCTCGGCTGATTCTGCTACCGACCACGTCCAGATAGTCTCCCCCGAGACTACAGAGGTGAATCTCATTAATCCATTAGAAGTGGCACTTTCCCCGCCCCAAGACAGCCAATGTGGTAGCCCTGCCGGGCTAACCGACCGTTCACGGGAGGTCGATCAGATGATGTTTGAATATAATGTCGCCTCACCATGGTCCTCCACATCAGCCTATATGGGCAGGGAAGGGGCTAAAACAAATGGAGGTCTTGGTGGCATATATACTGTGCTATCACATCAGGATAAACGCTATAACTTTGAGGATCAGAAGCCGATCGAAGAGAGGGTCAAGATCTTCGGCAAACTATAACCGACCTCGCCCTCGAAGCTACTACACCAGACATGATTAGAATAGAGTAGAATTAGATTAGAGATTATATATACAGTCATACATATATACCCAGCAGAAGTCATCACTCGGACTTCAAACGTCGAGGCAATACGATTATCATCCCCGCTGATACCCCTGTCCCGCCCACCTGGACGGAGGAAAGTTGTAGTCCTGCTCAGACCCCTGGCCCGCATATCGACTCTGAGGAAAATCATAATCATCGTACAGATCTTGCTTGGCGGCTAGGACCCATCCCGCGTCTGATAATCGTTGACGAAGTGACTTGAGGCTCAGTATTCGCTTGAGTTTAGTGCAGAGGTCGCCCATTGTGGGCTGTGTCTAGTTGGTGGAGGCGAATGCCGTAGAAGGGTAGCAAGTTAAGTGCTCGACGTTCGATATGCGATACTCAGTGGAGCAGGTAGATGAAGTTTCGAATGGATGATCTTGTAGTCCCCGTGGAGCTTTTATTTCTCAATTCAGAAGTTCAAATTGAGACCCGGTGAAATGTTTGGGTAGAGAAGAATGGTTCTCTAATGTGACGGTCCGAGAAAAGAGGTGACGTGAACGTGAAATCAGGAGGTCTAGGACAACCATTCCGACCAGCTGGAGACATCCATTTATATTTATAACGGCTCGGACCGCCAGTCCAACACAAAATAAAGTTGGCACAGTGCAAAATTTCTCCTGAGTGGCCACTGGCGAGAGGAATGGTATCAAAGGAGAGAAAATGCGAGGGTTTTCCGAGTTTGAGCCGAACATCGTTGTATGCATATATCAAACCGACTATCATTAATGCTAAGCTGTAGTAAGCAATAACTTACTCAGTAGGGTAAACTTCCGCGACAAATGGTCAAATCAGGCAGTTCAACACAGCAGAGTCATTAGTACAGGTGAAAGCTCCAAATCAATCATTGATCCCCTGAGTAGGGTATAAAGCGCCGAAGGTCAATCAAAAGGCAACAAGCACAATCTAATCTAAGTACAAGGACCCGTGATTCAACGAGATCTTCGGTACCAAAATTCCTCCGGATCCCCCAAGCAATCTCCAACGGTGACCGCTGTCGCACGGATTAGCATATGGCAACTGTAAAACACATTGTCAATAGACACATACTCTGCAATCCTCTCGCGCGGATCTCCTCAAGCATTGCCCTTGTCAACGTATGGACGGTTTGCTCATGCACATCGTGGGACAGGATGATGCTTCCGCCAGCGTTCAACTCGTTCCGGAACTTTTCGAAACTTCGGAAGATCAAATCGGGATGGTCATTCTCATAGTCCTTCGTGTCGATACTCGCTCCGATGACATGGTACCCCAGGTTACCCATGGCCGACAGAACCAGCCCATTGAAAGCGAGGTATGGCGGTCTCATGTACGCCGGATAGAATCCTAGGACATCCATAAAGGCATTTTCCAATTGGGTCATCTGTGCGACAATGGCGTTGTAGTCCAACGAGGTGAGATAAGGATGGCCCCAGCTAAGCACAACTGTTAACTCTTGCGATGAAAGATTGAATCGGTGGATACGTACGTATGCGAGGCAATCTGATGACCTTCGTCCAAAATACGCCGCACGACAGCCGCGTCACCGTAAAAGTCCCCACGGTTTCGGCCATTGAGGAAAAAGGTCGATCGTGCACCGTACTCACTGAGGAGTTCCAGAAGATCGGGAGTGTAGATGAACGGTCCGTCGTCAAAGGTCAGAGCGACCGTACCAGGAATGACGCATCTGTCCAAGAGGGCTCCAGAGGGAACAGGCGAGTCTCGCTTTCCGATGGTCAGATTCAGAGGAGATGCCCAGGTTTCGCGGACAAAGATTGAGGTAGAGAAGAGAAGAACGAATGTAGCCCAGCAGCGAGAGGAAACCATGATGACGACAGGCAGTGAAGCGACGAGTAAGAATGAATAAGAATGTTGAAATATCGAGAGTGTTTGAGTAAGTGGTATAGGTAAGGGTCTGGAGGTTTGGATAGGAAAAAAGAGAAGAACAAGAGAATCACCATTCGACACAGGGTAGTTATAGCCTTCTACCTGAGATGGAAAGCGAATATAAGGAAAGTGCAGTGCAGCATAAGGAAGGCATATCTGCTGCGTCGTTGTGATGGTAGTACTTTCACTTTGAGTGTAAAGAATATGGGGAAGGAGGCAATGAGGACTTATGAAGATGCAGCCACACATGTTCATTCAAAGATTTTGGGGGCATGTCAGAGCATGCACTTTATGGACTATGAACACATTCATTTTGAATTGGAAAGACTATGATGACATTAAAAAGTCCAAGTGCATGATTCCCGTGAATGGCTTTCGAAAGCATATCTTTGTCAAGTCAGCATTGTATCAAGAAAAGCTTTCCATAACATAGATTTCATCTTCCGAATCCCAGCTACATCCCGCACCCACACATGACAAATATATTTATGAATACATTAGTATAAAGGTAAGGAGCACCGAAGAAAGACCGACTTTTTTTGAATATCGGAACAAATCTGAAAGCGATCATGCTCTCTTGGTGTACTTCTTCATAGAACGTCTCTGGCCCTTCTGCGATTCCCGCTCAAGGAACTTGCGCTGCTCTTCGGCAGTCATGCCACGGAGGAGTCGCTCTCGCTCCTCCTTCTTGATCTTCTCGGCTGCCAGCTTGCGCTCCTCTGCCTTTTCTTCCTCATCAGCGCGGCGAAGCTTCTTGATCTCTTCTTCACGGACGTTCTTGATCTTGCGCATCACCTCCGGACGGAAATGAGCAGACGCAACAAGCTTGTCAGTGAAGCGAAGGAACTGGTTGAACAGTGGCATAGTGGCGGAGAAACCAGAGGCAGACGAGGGGAGAGAGATAGAATAATGGATGCGCTTCCGGGGGGTAGTCTCCTCGATTCTGGAAAAAGCATTAGTCTAGACGTTCCTCTTTAGCCGAGGAATGACTCACTTCATGGGCTTGTCGATGGGCTGGTCGGTGACAATGAAATATCTGAAACAGTCACCCGCCTTCTCGATAGCCTGGATCAATTCAGGAGTGAGGAGAGTATCGGTGATTTCGGCACTTTCCGTCATAACGGTAACCCAGGATGGCAGCTTGGCATTGTCCTTGGTAAAGGTCATCGAGGCGTCGTAACGGTCCTGGCGGAACTTGCGCATGTGGTTCTTGTGCACAACAGCCCAGATGAAACCATCATAGGTCGAGTTGTTCACCTTCAGGGAGGAAGTATCCTTGGCGGGTACGGGAACAAGATCCTTTTCCTTGCCATCAAACGTGTAGGCGACTGCCTCGAACGTCTCGGT